GGATTTGCCACATGTGGAAAGGCCTGGGTACCAGCATCTGTTTTGCTTGTTCAAGAGATTTGGGCCTATTTTGTGGTTCTTGGCTCTATTTCAAAGATGATGGGTCATCAAAATGTTCTATGTTATTATGTAACTTCAGAGTTTCATCGATGTCCTTTCCCATTGCCATTATCCCAGAGATGTGTGTTTGGAAGTTGCTGGGAAGCAGGTTGCAAAAGAGGAGAAAGGCAGTTCATTTCAATTTCAGAGAATGTGTAGTGAATTGATCACTGTCCTGCGAGTCTGGTCTCAGCTCCATGACTAACCCATTATCCATTCAGTCCCCTCCACATCAGTGTCCTCAAGGTCGTTCCCAAGCTGGTGGGGTTCTGGGAATGCAGGGCTCGTAACTCCCTCATGGGAAGAGTTTAGAGGGACTGTCTCTTAGATGTAGGTCAAAAGGAGGACAGGGTTTCATTTCTTTATACAAGCACTGGGTACAGTCAGAAGCACGGGAGGGTGAGAGAATTCACCAGAGCCAGAGCGGGGAGCAGAACAGGCAGATTGACGAAGTACACTGCTGAGGGGAGCAGCGGGCAGCAGGAGAGGTCTGCGCACCATGTGGGACCCTCACCAGTGGCCGGGGATCTAACCAGCGCTGCAGAGGCTGTGGAAAGCCTCTCAGCCCAGCGCTCAACTGCTGCACCACCAGGGGAGGTCCAGGGCTTCATTTCTTAATGCTGCTAAAACAGAATTTTTAAACATTTAAACTTAAATTTAACATTTATAGTCCAATTTAAATTTAAACGTTGTGTCTTTTTAAGATAGGATAATTGTAGGGTTCATGTCTTCAAGGAGACAATCTGCTTGAATCTCTCAAGGTTGATTCTATGTGTGCCAGGCTGATCCCGTTCAGCTGGCTTTCCTCCCCTGCCCTTCCATGTTTACCAGTCAGGACCCAAACTGCAAACTGTAAAAAGTTTATGAGATCAATTAAGGAAAAGGAGAGTTCCAGTTTATTACGTGAAGCTGGTCATAAATTCCCTTTATAGAAGTTAATTAAAGGAGGACTCCCTGGCTTGCTCTTTAAGATAAAATAAAATAAAATAAAACAAAGAAGCAAAACAGACAAAACCCTCTGTGCTAGTGCATTTACTCTGGGGCGATGTCCATCGCTGTTAGGCTCTGAGCTAATTTAGAATATAGAATATTTTTTTTTTTTTTTAATAGAGGCATGCTTTATTTATTTGTTTGCTGGTTTCTTTGTTTGTTTTGTTTATACATGCACTGGGTACAGTCAGAAGCGCGGGAGGGCGAGAGAATTCACCAGAGCCAGAGCGGGGAGCAGAGCAGGCAGAAGGACCGAAGTACACTGCTGAGGGGAGCAGCGGGCGGCAGGAGAGGTCTGCGCGCCATGTGGGACCCTCCTCCGGTGGCCGGGGAGCAGCCGGGGATCGAACCGGCGCCGCAGAGGCCGCGCGCAGCTTCGCAACCCAGCGCTCAACCGCTGCGCCACCGGGGAGGCCCGAATATAGAATATTTTTAATCATAAAATATTTAGAATATAGAATCATAATTTAGAATCATAGAATATAGAAATTTAGAATCATAATTTAGAATATAGAATATTTTTAATCATAAAAAATGGAACAATTAGCTTAGAAGAAAATGCTCTGGTGGGCATCTCTTAGGTGCTGAACATATTTAGCAAAACAAAAGGTGGAGAACCCATGCTGGAGAGGCTCCTAATAGCACCATTCAAAGAGGCAGCATTGCAGAATTTACTGTGTCTATGAGCAAAGGGCCATTTTTTCACCTCCTTTCTCATAGTGTTGAATGCATCTTCTTGGATGGGTTTTGATGGCTGCTGTCTCTTTTTTCTCCTGTCTGAATTAAACTTTCAGCTTCTTCCTGTCAGTTATCTCAAGATTCCCAGGGTAAGGTTTAATGTAATTTTTTTTTCTTTGTGACACTTAGTGAAACTCTTTGTTCATAAAGAAAGAACATAAGCAACAGCAAGCCCCTGCAGGAAAGGGCTGGAGGAGGAGCGAGTGATATTTGCATGTATCTGTTTCTAAGGCATAATGTAGGCACATCTGTGTAAGCAGGAAAAAAAAGTTATCCCCGTGGGATATGGAGCTCGGCAGAGTGACTGAACAGCCCCCTGGAATACATTGAGCTGGGAAAACCTCCACGTCTCATTATGCTTTAATCCACTCAAGATGACCAATAAAACTGTCGATTATAATATAACTGTGATAGGTTTGTATCTGTTTCTTGGACCAAGGCCACAGTTATACTGTTTTGAAAGTTTCACAGATACCATTTTCACTGCTCTGAGTCAGGACTCCCACGAGCTTCTTTGGCCTCTGTCTAAAGATTTCAGTGGCAAAACCATTCCTTTTCTTGTTTCCTGGCCTTGGGTTTCATTCCTAGAATCAGTGATGGGAAAATGCAATGAGAGGTTTATAGTTGGAAACCCATGCCTTGAAGTAAAATACAAGATAAGGAAATGGCTGGTTTTACCATCCTGGGGCAGCTTCATGTCTTCTCTTAACTCCAGAGGGCTTGGTCTCATCCACCTTTTCCTCATCTGTCTTGGATCATTCTTCACCATTTTCTCATAACAACAGTTTGGGTGAGGGATTTCCTTACTGTCACCCCTTATCCTGCACAAATGTAATTCAACAATGTCTTTGAGAACAATTGGTTTAAGTTTAAACTCTTTGAAACTATTTAAATGACAATTATGAGTCAACTACTATGCCAAAATAGGTAGTTCACTTCAGTATCAATTAATACTCTTAGAAATCTAAACTATACTCCTTTTGTTTGAGTATCCGATGAAGCAATGAGTAGCTAGTTTTTGTCACACCCAAATGCATTATCCTGATAGACCCTACAAAGTAGTAGTATCTAAAAATTTTTTATTATAGTATCATGAAGAATTAGAGTTAAACTGCTCTTCACCCTTCTTCCCTTAAATTCTGTGTTAATATAAAGGTGTCAATTTATTGGGAACTGGTGACATTATACTGTTAAATTACTGAACTGTGATTTTTAAGAATTATGAAAGTTTTTTATTCAGTGTCATTTTCTTTCTGACTTTCTTACGGCGTAATCCGAGACTGCTGATATTCTCTGTACCTTGAGAGATAGTGAATAGACTATGACATATATATACATATACATATATATATACATATATATATACATATACATGTTATGCTGTTTTAGATAGTTAATACTACTTGATTTTCTGTTCAGAAGTAGTATTGCTATTTAAAAAACACAGTGGTAAGAAGCAAGAATCCATCGGACACCCCGGATGTACACATCTCTGCTGGGCGAGTGTGGGTAGACCCTCTCCTCCCTGATCAGGCACAGCTGGGGTTGGGAGGGGTCTTGTTGACATGGAAAATAACTAATCACAATTACATTTAAACTGGAAGTATTTTTGAGTACATGGATCTTTATCCCTGAATTTAGTCCTGTCAGTTTTTATTTGAGTGCTTATTCTGTGCAAACCACCATGTTGTTATAGTAGAGAATAAATCCTGAAACAGCCCACAGATTATTGGGGAGATAAGACCTGGGCTCAGGGAAGACTCCATAGAGGAAATGAGAGTTAACCAGGCCTTGAAAGATGGGTTGCATGTGGAAAACACAAGGTATGGAAAACGTATTCCAATTGGGAAGTATGACATGAAGGGGAAAACCCCAAGCAAGAGCACAGAGGCCTGGAGAGTGTGCAGAAGAGGCAAGCTCACACGTCATTGTGCCTGGAGACAGTCACATGCAGGTCTGGTGCAGGGAGTAGGTCAGAGTGTCACACAGGTCACTCAGTGTCAGGCCGAGGAGGAGGAGCACTGTCTTAAGAAAGGCTCCAAGCAGGAACAGCTTGTCACAACCTGCATGGGACTGAAAGCAAACATGAAGGCTGGTTCTGAAACAGGGAAAACAAAGTGGAATGATTAATAAAGTGAATTTAGGAAGGAGTAAAAGGAAGATAGAGTGACCTGTGAATCATTTCATCCTGAGAAAGGAATACCACCAACCCAACCAGGGTGTCCAAGAATGGGTGAGGCCTTCCGAGAGATGATGATTGTGATAATAAGATGACAAGGGCAACAACACTTAAAAAGTTTTGCCTGGATGCTAGGCTTTTAACATCACCATTAACTCATTGAATCCTCTGCATATCCCTCTTTGGTACATGCTAGCATGATTCCATTTTAAAGAGAGGAACAGCGAGTGAGTTAGTATTTGCCTGAGGTCATAGGTCACCATGTATGTGAGCTAACCAAGGCCTAGAGGTGTTAAGTGATTTCTCCACCATCACACAACTGGTATGTGGCAGCAGCAGGATTTGAAGGGAAAATCATAATGGAGTCCAAGGCCTTTGTTTTTTCTGTTAAAAGGTCCTGCTTCCTAAACTCAGAAAAACACCTCACAAGGCAGGTTCCCTCTATAAAATGGTGGGTCATTTTCTGCTCCTGCTTCCTGCTCTAGTCTTTGATGGGTTTTAATCACAATGGCTGATATTTTCTCTGTTAGGAGGACCCAAACAATTTCTGTTAAGGTCCAAGTAGTCAAGAATTCATGTTTTGCTGGCCATATGGTTGCTGTGACAGCTGCTCAACTTTGCTGTTGCAGGAAAAGGCAGCCATTGAAGACTCAGAAGATGGGCCAGGCTGTGTGCCCATAAAACTTTATTTGCAAAAACAGGCAACTTGCAGACTCAATGTTCCACCCTTGCAAAGCTCTCTACCCCTGGAGTTGCTCAGTGGGAAGGGGTTTCAGCACCCTGATCCCCACCTCACAGCCCCTTCTGCCATTTTTTAAAAAAATATTTTCTCATTTCCATCCCATGCACCTAGGCATCAAGGAAAGTTTATAATAAAATGCTAATAGAATGGAGTTGGCTTGCTTTTTTCAGGGGCCTCATCTCTGAAGAGGGAAAGAAATGTATATGGTTTGAATTAGAAATAAATCTTTCATTCTTCTCTGTTCTATCATAGGTGCCTTGTACCTGGAGAGTCTGACAGCAATTCCAAGACTGGGTCTGACCCCTTCCCCTGGCACATCCTGCCACACCCATGTTTCAAGTGAAGGGCCCACAGATGGAGAAATAAAGGTTGGTGCTTTGGATGTGACAAGAAGACACAAGTAAGTTAGAAGGACAAAACTTTCTTATTCTTCATGGGCAGCCTCTTCCTTTTCATCAGTTAGATTTTCAGGTTCTGAAAATGTGGAGCTTTTCTGTCTTTCCAAAAATGGACTATTTTGAAACAAAGACATGTCTTTAGTTTCCTTAAAGGACTGTTTTCTTGCTTCTGTGAATGTCATAATACCCATCCTAAAGTGTAAAAGACAGGGACCTCCCTGGTGGTGTGTGGGTTAAGTCTCAGGCCTAGCAAGCTGTCGCCAGCTACTGCGACTTGAGTTCAATCCCCACCCAGGGAGCTACCCACATGGCACAGCAGACCTTGCCTGTCTTCCTGCTACCCCCATCAGCAGTGTATTTCAGATCTTCCTGTTCTGCTCCCCACTCTGTCTCTGATGAATCTTTTTAGCCCCTGCACCTCTAGTCTGCACCCCAGCTCTTACATGCATAAATAAAAAAATTAAAAAATGTAAAAGACAAATGAACCCACCTAAAATGCTGCCTAGTTTTTAGGAATGTCCTGAATTCTGCTAAGTGAACATAGATGGGTTTCCATCGTGTTTCTAGTCCTTTACATAAGAGTCGCAGCCTCTGGGAGCCCACCCTGGCCCCCACCTTCCTTTCTGCAGCTTATCTGTGCTCACTCGCTTTTCTAAGTGACTGACCTCCCCTGGGAAAAGTTCAGAAATGTCAGTGGAGTTTGTGCATAGCTCTCCACCCCCAGTGAAATTTCCTCTCTATAAAAAGGGTGAGGAAGTTAATACTTTGAATTGCAAATTCTTTTTCCTTTTGCGCTAGGTTCTCTATGGTCTGTAATCTCTCATGGAGGTTGGCTTGCTCTTTCAGAAATTTGGTAAAACTGGGGCAGGAAAGGGGAACCATGTTACATTGGGTGTCTGCTGAAATGCACAGCCTTCCCCGCTGGAGTCAGTAGTCTTACTCTCTGTTGCCAGCTCCGCACGACCTACTGGTGGCCCCTACCCAGGAATGGATCTCCCAGGCTGCATCAGCATGAACAATGGCCCAAGCGTGGAAGTGAGTACTGATTCGCTTTCAATTTCATTTTTAGCACAGCAATGCCCCGGTCCTCTACTATGACTAGTACATGCTCTTGTGTTTTTTTTTTTTGTTTTTGTTTTTTTTCTTTTTAAGTATTCGGGATTCTCTTACAGCCAGGCTAGGTCTTACAATACAAAACTCAGATGCTGAGAAATGTCAACCTTTGGTGGCCGAAAATTGGAATCCAGTCATTTGGGGGCTTTCTACCCTTTATGTAATTGATGCTCCAGGATAACATGTACATAAGTGTGTATATGTCTCCAAGGAGATGCTGTGGAAATGCTGATCTTCGCTGAGAGGGGGCCTAGTTTGAGACTTAAATGCAAATCCTGTCAATTCCTGTTGATGCTCTTAAAGGTTGGGGTCAAGGCTAGCTCACTTTTGAGGTGCTGATCTTTTGTAAAAAGCCACAAAGTAGGGCAGTTAGGTGTCAATGGCTCTTCCCTACCCAAGAAGAGACTAACGCTGACTGACTGAGAAAGATCATGGAGCAACCCCCCTCTGCCCACCCCCACACCCCCAGTTAGAGAGCTTATCCAGAGGCCTTCCCCAGCCTGCAGTCTGAGCCGGTGCTCTGTCATCAACTCTGTCATATGGCTCAGGTGGTTCGGCTGCAATCTGGCCATCTGTCATTCTTCTGTTGTTCTTTACAACTTTGAGAGACAATTCATGTGACTACAGATCCTTGATATAAATTTTTCCATCAAACTTTTAAATATATTCAAAGTTCTGTAACTATCGCCACAAGCAATTTTAGAACATTTTGATGATCCCCCAAAGAAAGCTCATTCCCATTAGCAATCTATCCCTGTTTCCCCTCTCCTCAAGTCTCCAGTCCTAGGCAACCACAAGTGCATTTTCTGTCTGTGGAGATTTGCTTATTCTGGACATCTCACATAGTAGTGTTTTACAGTATAATAGCTCTAGTGTCTGGCTACTTGCACGTCCTACTGAGTTTTTAAGTTCATCCATGCCACACACAGTATGTCATCAGTACCGTGCTCCTTTTTATGACTGAATAATATTCCAGTATATGCATAGACCACATTTTATTTACCTGTTGTTTGGTTGATGAATGTGGGGTTTTTTTTAGGTTTTAGCTGTTATGAATAATGCTGCTGTGGATATTAGTGTATAAGGTCTTGTGCAAGCACATGCTTTCAACTCTTTGGGGTGTATACCTAAGTGTGGAATTGCTATATCCTGTTTTAACTCTATGTTTAACATTTTGAGGAACTGCTGAATGGGTTTCCAAAGCAGCTATTCCATTTTATATTCCCAGTGGTCATGTATGAGAATTCCAATTTCTCCATGTCCTAGTCAACACATTACCTCTTCGATTATAACCATCTCGGTGAGTGTGAAGTACCACATTGAGTGTTTTTATGATTTATTTATTTATACAAGAATGGGGATACAGTTCAGATGTGTGGGAGGGTGAGAGAATTCACCAGAGAGCAGGGAGCAGAACAGGCAGATGAACTGAAGACACTGCTGAGGGGAGCAGTGGGTGAGGCAGGAGAAGTCTGTCATGCCATGTGGGTTTCTCCCTGGCCGGCCGGGAATTGAACCTGTGCTGCAGAAGCTGTGGACAGCTTCACAGCACAGCACTCAACCCGCTGCGCCACCGGGGAGGCCCACATTGAGTTTTGATAAGCATTTTCCTAATGACAAATGATGCAGAACATATTTTTATGTGCTTGTTGGCTATTAGCTATCTTCTTTGGAGACATATTTACCTAGATCTTTTGCCCGCCTGAAAAATGGAGTTATTTTCCTTTTTATTACTGAGTTATCTGAGTGGTTCTCTTTCTGCCTTCTAAGAGTATATACCTGGCATTTCTCTTCCTTTGTATCCATTTTATTAAGTAACTACAAAAAAATAGAAAAAAAAAAGGAAATGAGTCTATTTTGCTATTAGCAGTTCCTGTAAAATTCTTTTAATAAAGGAAGTTGCATCTGGAAGGCTACAGGATGTTTGATTATTAGTAATTTCCCTTTTATCTGGCACTGATTTCACCCAGAATGGGAAATAAACAAACATCAGTTGTGTGCCAGGTGCTTCGCAGGGAAGCATCTCTCTCTGCCATCCACAGCTTTGCATGGAAGGTGTTGTCTGCTTTTCACAGATGCGGCAACTCAAGTTCGGAGAGGTTGAATAACTTACCCAAGGTCACTCAGTTACTCAGTAACAAACCGGACATTCAAATTCAGGTTTACCTAGCTTCAAAGAATAGGCCTTCTGATAACTTCAATCAGCACACTGAATTTAGACAGTTCAACAATAATAATCACTCATCGTTACCTTGAAAGTTTCTTTGGCTAAGAACTGTCCTGCTTGTGTATCTGAGAGGCCCTCCTGAAACCCTCGTTAAGCTGCGTGACTGAGTTGTTTGGTCTGTGGTTTTGACCTCCATTAAGAAATAGGAGCCAAATAAGACTTCAGTGTAAAAAAACATAATAACAGTACAAAACACAACAAAGCAAAAACGGACAATTATAAATCAGAGACATGCTGCAGGGGAGGCGGAGGGAGAGGGATCAGAGGGAGGGAGGGAGGAGCACAGTGGACTGAGGTGATGGTGCACGGGTGCATTGGGGAAGGAAACTCTATGGGGACTACACCTGAGGGGGTTGGGGGGGTAAATATTATTTAAAAAAAAAGAAATAGGAGCCTGCGCCTCCACGGTGGCACAGCGGGTTGAGCACATCAGTGTGGAGCTGTCTGCAGCCTCTGCAGCATGGGTTCAATTCCCTGGCTGGCCAGGGGGATAACCACATGGCACAGCAGACCTCTCCTGTCTCGCCCGCTGCTCTCCTCAGCAGTGTTTTTGGTTGTCTGCCTGTTCTGCTCCCCACTCTGTCTCTGGTGAATTCTCTCACCCTTCCACGCCTCTGGCCTATTCCCCAGTCCTTGTATAAATAAATAAATCTTAAAAAAAAAAAAAAAGAAATAGGAGTCAACAGGAATGGCAATAGAAACTCCTGTAATTGTCTAGATTTCTGGAAGGTTTCCCTGCTCTCCTCTGTGCCAGCTCCTTTACAGTCCCCAGGAGTTAGTCTGTGGACTGCACTGTGTGGAGTGGAACCACCAGGCCCCACTGTTCCCCTTCCAGATTCCTGCTTCCCCCAAGAATCCATGCAGCCCCTTCCCTGCAGGTTGAGTACGTTCCTGCCCGCCCTGTGAGCAAGACCTGAGTCCTTCCCTCATGCACCCATGTTCATCTCGTCAGCAAATTGAAAGCTCTCCTTAGAAAATGCTTCTTTCTGCATTCTCATTGACAGCGAGTACAGGAAATTAGAATGAAGCATGAGATGAACATCATAAAAATGTCATCCACATTTATCCCACTGTCCCATAAATCATGATGTTTCCTTAATTCCTTCATAACAAACAACCTGACCTGGTTTTGAGTCCCTTTAGTCTGGCCACAGCAGACTTCCCTTCTTCCCCAGCACCGCCTCGGGGCTGCCCCTACAGGCATCCTCAGAACGTGTTACACAGGCCTGCTGAAGCTATTTCTCCGCCCAGAACATTTCTCAACTATATTGGATATTTCAAAACCCAACTGTTCCGTAAAATCTTTCCTGTGGCAGCAAGAAATGCTGACAGTCAAGCACCCCTTGTCCTTTTGGGGGTGGAAATCATATTTGAATCCAGAGACTGGGTTTTTTCCAAGTTCTAGCTCTGTGTAACTGAAAAGTCTTATTTTTCAAGCCTCATTTTCCTAATTTCTCAACTATCTACTCAGGAAAATATAAGGTCCCTCCCTTCTTTCAGATCTCAGTGACCCTGACGTCGCTTCGTGTTGCCTGTATTCTGCTTGCCTTGCAGTTCTTCATTTTCTTAGGCTTATTCCTGCATTAGAGTCTGAGTTTGGCAGGGCATGACTTTACTGGGCCATTAATGAACATGCATCTAGCACTCTGCATGCATGTGGTGTCCAAAAGCTCACCACTGTATATGCTGAATGCCTGTTTACTTACTTTTTCACTCCCTGCAGGGTCTACTTAACCCCCTGAGAGTCGCCTCTGAATGAGACTGTGCTTACCTGACCACCTTGTCCTTTCCTGTGGACTTGTGTTCAAATTCACAGAGGAAGCTCTATTCTAGCACTTTCTTTAGGAAGCCCAATGTGAGATAAAACATCAGTATTTTTTTAATTTTTTATTTTTTACATCATTGTTCATTTTTAAACAATATTTGCTTCTCCACCCCCTCAGGTGTAGTCCCCATAGAGTTTCCTTCCCAAATGCACCCGTACACCATCACCTCAGTCCCCTGTGCTCCTCCCTCCCTCCCTCTGATCCCTCTCCCTCCTCCTCACCTGCAGCATGTCTCTGATTTATAATTGTTTAAAACATCAGTATTTTTATTTTTTTTAAAGATTTATTTATTTATTTGTTTATACAAGCACTGGGTACAGTCAGAAGCGCGGGAGGGTGAGAGAATTCACCAGAGCCAGAGCGGGGAACAGAATAGTCAGACGGACGATGTACTCTGCTGAGGGGAGCAGCGGGCGGCAGGAGAGGTCTGCACACCATGTGGGACCCTCCTCCGGTGACCGGGGAACAGCCGGGGATCAAACCGCTGCTGCAGAGGCTGCGGGCAGCTTTGCAACCCAGCGCTCAACTGTTGCGCCACCGGGGAGGCCCAAAACATCAGTATTTTTAAAAAGATGTTTGAGTGAACAAAAGTCCTAATATGATTCATTTCTGGAAAAGAACACCTGTGGTTAACACAATTTGAGTACCAGTTTGAGACACTTCTGGGGATGTAACATAGAGCTGCTTTACAAATTCAATAATTTCATTTATTTGGGTTATTTTGATGTAGAGATGAAAGAAGAAAATCAAATGTTTCTGGTCCTTATCTCTTAGAGATTCTAACTGAAATATGCATGGAAGGATGCTGGGATTTGTTTCCAGGCAATGCAGGCATGGGCTTTGTGGGCGACAGTGGAGATGAAACAAGACTGGCACTGGTTGATTGGTTGTTGATATTGCAGAACGGATGCACAAAGATTAACAACTCTATTCTGCCTACTTTTGTATTTATTTGAAAATTTCCCCAGCAGTCTTAGAACTTTTAGGCATATGGTATAGATTTGGAATTAAAGAAGTCCTGGAATTGAGACAGGCTGTTACTAGCTGTGTGAGCTTGGGCAAGTGGCCTAACCTCTCTGAATGTGCTTGTGTCTCCTGTGAAACAACTGTTGTGTTGCAGAGTTCTGTGGAGGATTCAAACCCACATATATCCACATACATAGATCACATAATTGCATACACAGAGCTGTGTCTGCAAAGTTCTGGCCTAGCCAGTCCATGAAGACAAACCAAGCAGGTTATATATGAGGTCACATCTCGCTGTTCTGTCTCTCCATTTGCTGATGTATAGGAAGGCCTCCTTTCCCTTGGGGTCCCTTTTGAACATTTCCAGGAAGCTCAAAGGGTGCAAAATAATCACTCCCGATGTCTTTCAGGCCTTATCAGCTCATGGGGCCCAGAGGACACTGAGTCTCTTGAATGATTGTAGATGGAGGAAGTTGTTTCACCACTCACATCTCTGCAGGTTTTCTGTTCATGGTCCACGCTGCTCACAGGCCCTGCCTGCTCCATGGCTAACCCTGCAGCTCTGCCTGGACCTGTGTAGTCTCGTCTTTCTGGGCAGCAGAGAGTGAGCACTCCCTTCTTGTTCTGGCATGTGCAGAGAGTCCTCCTGTGGCATCGGGTAGGCTCTTGGTGATGCAGTTGTTGAAATTATCCTCTGCTTTTTGGGGCACATGGATGAATGAACCTGTGGGCCTGGGAGGTCCAATGGTCAGGTGCACAGCCTCCCGCTGTGTCAGGTGTGCCTGCTGCATCCACAACTCCATCCAGTTCCTTTGGTCCTCCTGCCTCTGTTCTTCCTCACTCCTGGCAGTTTCTCCCCAGGGCCTAATTGTCTCTGATTCTACCATCATCATTCCTATTCACTGTTCCCGTGGAGTCTGAATAGCAACCCAGGGTTTCTGGACAGGTGATTTGGCCCTGGTATGTGCCCCCAGATATTCCAGCATTAAGAAGTCTCATGAAAATTCCAAGATGTTGAAACTGATTCTCCTCTCTGCTCTGCTTGAATCTCAGACCTGATCCCCAAGACACTTTATAATATTTCATAAAGTACATGATTCATGCTGAACACTCAGAAATAGCAGCAGAAACTATCACCCAGAATCAGAATTTTCAGCAGGATGAAGCTCAGAAGGAACCTTGTTGTCACAGGTCAGGAGAAATGCAGGTGATTATCTCTGTTTTGTCTTTCACTGCTCAAAAAGAAAAGAAAAAGCCACATACAGCAAATAGTGTCTTGCTAGCCCTTTGAGGTGTCCTTCATGTTATTACATGCTTTTGTGTAAGATTGGCTGTCACTAGGAGAGGGTGAATTGTGAGGCAAATGACAGAATCAATTTAAAAATATCTCAGGAGATTTTCTGGCCATTATCTGTCCTGTTCTCTCAGGCTGTGTGTGGGTGCAGCTTTAATAACCTTGGAGAACAAATAACATTTGCTAGTTGCAAAATTGGAAGCTGTGCAAGTTGACTGATAACTGTGTTATAAATGAGCCTCCTAGTGGTGGGTGTGTCTTCTAGAGCTGAGGGTGTGGTTATTTAGAAATTGAAAAGAAGGGGAAAAAAAAAAAACCTGGGAGGAAAATTGCATCTCTTGCATTTGAACTTTCTTTTGACTACGAGTTTTACATTCTTTCTCTTTTGGAACTTTGACACTGTGGAGTCTAGTCAGGGAGTTTTTTTTTACCCAGTTAGAAGTCCATATAGACAACTTTTGTTCCATTGTTCTTTTTCTAAGAAAATCACCTTTATTTGAGCAGCATTTATATCTCAATTAGATGCAATAGTTAAAAAAATTACAATGGTAATATGAATGCTTATTCATACACAGGTTTATGATCAACACGGGCATTGCTTGATAAGGCGATGCACTTGAAACCTATATAATGTTATAAACCAGTGCTACATCAGTAAAAATAATTTTTTTTAATTTACAGCTTAAGTCACATTTCATCTAAAAATAACCCCAGGAGTTAGCTATAAACCCATTAATGGCCCTTCCTACTCTCCTGGATTCTTAGTGTTCTTGACATTTCTTAAGTACTGAAGCAGGACTGCTTGCTGAGGGTGTTCGTGTGGCCTATGTGGCTCACCCAGCCCCTGGGAGAAGCTGCCTGGCTTTGTTCTGTGGGTGCCTGGGTACCCCACCCTGCATTTGACTTGTGCTGCCAGAAACAAATGGGCTGGACCACAGATTTCCATGCCAGTGTCATGCCGGTGATATTTGAATGGCTGGGCCAGGAAGAGCACGCTTCCTGCTCTGTGCTGTCAGCCTGTGTCACAGTCCTTGACTCCAGGCTTTTGCTCCAGGTAAGTCAGTCCCTCATCGGACCTCTCTTTGCCTAGTATTTCATTAATTCTTGATTTCGCTTGGTTAAAAAAAATATACTCACTAGATTTCTTGTTTGTGGTTTGCCCAGGTCTCCCAGTTGCTGTGTGTGAGTTAGTTCCCTTGTGGAACGGGAGTGCAGGTTCAAAGAGGGGTGACTTTTGATGCTGAAAGGAGAGCCCAGTGGGTGGAAGTTGTGGGTGGTTACCTCCCACACCCAGATACCCCGAGGAGCTATGTCTCCATCCAGCCTTCACTAACCACCACCCAGAGTTTGAAAAAAAAAAAAAATCTCCTTTTGTCTGGTTAGTCTTATAAAAAGGATCAACAAAAGATGTTATTAGAGCAAATTCATCATCAGCTAGCATGGAGCTGTGCTGTCTGTTGGGGCTCCTGCTGCATTCCTGGGATTCAGGAAGGGGGAAATGAATTGGGAGTCATAGCCAATTGCTTACCTTGTAACTGTTCCAGAGCTCCATAGTCACGTATGGTTGTGTGGTTACTAAATGCATGACGTTTCTCCAAAATCATAGAATTACTTGTTGAATCAATTCATACTTGGTCAACAGGCTTCTCACTAAAATGTTTCCCATACAGGGCTTGTAGACAGCGTCTCCACAATTGATGCTCATTTGTAACATAATGGAGGCAAGCTATTTTTCTATATTTATTATTCTGACTTTAAATAGTGATGATAATTAGTTTTAAAAAATGTTTACAGGACTGGTGTTTCCTTTTCTTCCATATTGGAAACTAGTTTAATGGGACAGGGAGTAAGCACCATACTTTCTTCAGACGTCCTCAGTTAAAATATGAGAATCCAGGACCCTGGTAATTGTGAGATGAAGTGATTTTCAGACAAGTTAGCTTTTTAGTGAAAGCAAAATAAGAAATGTTATTTTAAGCCACACAAAGTGACAAATGTTTAATGTTAGTAGAATGTTAAATGGACTTGATTTTTTTTATTATGAAATTATTCTTGTTGATTTTTATGAAGTAGGATATACAAAGAAACTGATATACAAAGAAAGGTTTCACTGAATTTTTTTTCTATTTTGTAAGTTCATGATAGATGAATATAGTTGAATTAGCACAGGATAATTATTAACACAATCTTTTAAAGTAGTTTAAGGACAGGGTCATCCTCATTTAACTGTCTATTCTGTATAAGCTACAATTTCTCTTCCAAATTTAATCCAAACACTGCCCCACTCTCTTCTGTTCTGTGCATACCCCTTTTGGTCTGCTTCTACCTTCTAAAGTCTGTGTTTTGGGTATTTGTCTTTCTGACTGGCCTGTCAGCAGCTCTGCATCAGGACTGTGTTGTGTGTCTTCAGCCCTTTCTGGAGCAAAAGAGGGTCTTTTTTTTTTTAAGATTTATTTATTTATTTATACAAGAGCTGGGGTACAGGCCAGATGCACGGGAGGGTGAGAGGATTCACCAGAGACAGAGCGGGGAACAGAACAGGCAGACTGACTGAAATGCACTGCTGAGGGGAAGCAGCGGGAAAGACAGGAGAGGTCTGCCTCGCCATGTGGGACCCTCACTGGCCAGGATGGAACCGGCGCTGCAGAGGCTGCGGACAGCTTCACAGCGCTGCACTCAACCCAAAAGAGGCCCAAAAGAGGGTCTTTGATAAAAGTTGAATTAAACTGATGTTACCAGGGGTTTCTTTCAGTCCCGTGTGGTCTGACCCAAATGCACTTCAAACAGAGATGAGCTGGGATAGAGAATGCCCTCGTTCAGTGGAGAGGAGGGTCAGTGTAAATTCTTGCTTTGCAAGGTGGTGGATTTTTCCCAGTATTTGAGGTGAACATTGCAAAAGTTTAAAGTTAAGTCCTTTGCCCACCTCAGACAATAATCAGGAAGTATTCATTTCTCCAGTACTTGGGATAGGACATCTCAGAGGTGGTTCTTCAACTGTAGAGACAACACTATATTTATCCTGATCCATTTCATAAGCTGGCTTCACCTCTGAATTTTGTGGGGCAATTACTTTATTTACTGGTTTATTTTCCTTACCTGAACACAAGCAAATCTCTTCTTGTTGAACCCACTGTGTAACGTTGGGAGAATTAAATGCGGTGATAAATACAAGGGGTTTATGTCTTCTCATACACTGAACAGATGTAAGCTGCTGTTGTTATTCTGGGTAACGACATATTCAGCAAATTTGTGCAAAACCTTTACTTTCTGTCACTATAGTCAGTAATTTCTCGGATAGATTCTAAATTGTATCTGTATTATAAAATGTTCCTCTTTAGAAACCTGTTGCTGATGGTGGCGATTAATTAGTTGATATTTGATTATGAAATATTTCAATGTCCGTGTGGGTTTTTCCTTTGCTATCTCCAAATGCTTTCAGTTTTAATTATTACATTTTATCTTCCTACATAAATCAAGTAATTGTAAAAAATATACATTTTGAAAAAGGAACATATGTTCACACTGTATTTTTTGAGACTTATCTACTATAATGTCCTGTAGTTCCCCCAAATTAGGAGCTCCTGACAGAGATTTAAGAATTCTGAACAAGACTTTCAAACACTTGCCGTCGCGGCCTGGAACTACAATTTTGTTAAGCTCTTTTGAGCACCAGTATTAGGTGCTGATTTAGATGTAATCTCTCACATCTTTGAGAACTGGATTAAGTTTAAACTGTATGATCTGTCTAGCGAAAGTGGAGCACCATTTTTAAACCACAGGTCAAAAGTTTGAAGTTGAATAATATTTCTGTAAATAGGTTGTTTGATGCCCACATAGAATGTTCTGTTTGAAGAAAATTTGACTTAAGTTCATGAAATAAACTCTACCTGCCCTTTCAGTTTAGAATTTGTTTTGCCCAAGAATTTATCAGGTTTTCTTTAAATATCAGACTTGTAAGTATCTTAAAATTGGAATTTTTTTTTTTTGCAAGTACAGATTTAAGGGAGTATGTGCATCAATCTGCCCTACCACCCCCCCTTTCTCCTCTCCAAAAGAGCAAAATAAATATGGATTCGTTTAAATTTATATGAAAATATTTGCTTAGAACAACCTCTCTGGAATGGAAAATGTCAGATTGTTGAATTTTTTTCCTCTTTTTTTTTTTTTTTTTTTAAGGAGGATGGTGTCAGCAGCTCATGTTCTGGGAGTTTGCCGCAGTCCAGGTCTGCCTGCTTGTGTGTTCACATTTGTATGTGTGTTCAGTTAATTTTCAAGAGAGTTCTTTGGACACTCCAAAGATGTTTCTTCTACTCTTTTGGCAGGGAATATACCACACTTCCTTCTCCTGGCCACGCTGCTTCCTCAGAGAGCACTGTGACTTCCAGTGGTGAGTGGACTGAGGGGGATCAGAGTGGATGTCAGTTGGAAACTATAGCGTGATGCCCTAGGATCTGCTGCAGAGTGTGCAGATGGAAAGGACGTGGGCAAATACACCATTTGCATAATATTCAGGCTGTTAGTTTCTTCCTGTTGATAGATGCTGGATCAGAAATTTTGAATATGGCTTCTGGTGACCTTGATTGTAAATCACTCTGTGAGAAAGAGGAGGACACACAATCAGCTTCTGCTGCGATAAAGATCAGAGGTAAGCTGCTGAGCTTCAAGATAGTTTCCATCCCAGGACTCCCAGCAGATCTGTAAGGTGCAGGAGGGGTTGTCCTCAATAGCTGTTGGTAACATTTGAAAGAATTTTGAAGACATGGTCTAGGGAAAAGTTGCTAAGAGGTGACAATGTATCATAATGTTACCTTTTTAATCCCAATTATGTAGATAGAACAAAATTACAATATATTTTGATGGGACTTAAACATTTCCTTATGGCACAGATGGATTGAACACAAGTGGATCTCAACTGTGGTGCAGATGAGAAGTCACTTGCATAGAAAATGCTCAGAATCTTAATTAGAACCTACTAGGTTAAAAGGATGCATCAGATGGGCATGGTCAATTTGGGAGGCAGAAGAATTAACTAGATGCTGTTAGTTCTTTTTCTGCCATTTGACTCTGAAAGCAAAGCAGTTATCCCTGGCATTTATGGAAGCGTAAGCTCCCTTCCTTCCAAAAAAGATGAGCTGAGAAAAATTCAGCCTGTTGTTTTAACTGGACATTCAGCTGGGAAGTAAGCACTACAGAAGAGTAATTATAACATTATAGAAAGGGGTTAATTGAAAAATACCTTTATACTCAGCCTCACACTGAATAGGAAAAAACTTACTCAAACTGCACAAGATACTGGTTTTTCAACTGTCACAGAGATCAAGAGGCAACAATTTGACATCACCTTTTGCTAAGGCTGTGAAGGAAAAAGAAATTTTCATTCATGACTATAGGAAACCTAAATTGTTGTAATTTATATGTGTGTGCTGTGATACAACAATTATTTGATTTCTGAAAATTTATTCTATAATGATAAAATATTGGAAACAAGGTAACTCTCAGTGGAAGGCTATATCATATGATGGAATATTGATATGTATCCATAACGCATATACAAGGAAAGCTTTCTCTTGCACTGATATCAAAGAACTATTGTCTTTAAAAAGGTGTAACACTTGTGAAAAATAGGCTAGGATAAAATTTTTACATATGTGTAAAATCTCTCTGGGAGATGCAACAAAAATTACATTGTTTCCAGGGAGGGAAATTAGGTCTTACACCAACATGGATAGAAGGGAAAATTATCACTATAAGACATTCATATATTTTGAGTTTATATATATATGTGTGTGTGTGTGTGTGTGTGTGTGTGTGTGTGTGTGTGTATTTATATATTTGCACCTATGCTATGTTTTAAATTTTAAAGGAAAACTAAAATTTCATTAAGAAAATTGGATATTTTTTGCAAACGGTCAACAGGCACATGAAAAAATGTTCATCATCACTTGTAATCAGGGAAATGCAAATCAAAACTACCATGAGATACCATCTTACACCAGTGAGAATGGCACATATTAAAAAAACTAGCAACAACAAATATTGGCGAGGTTGTGGAGAAAAAGGAACTCTCCTGCACTGCTGGTGGGAGTGCAAACTGGTCCAACCACTATGGAGAGCTGTGTGGAGATTTCTGGACCTACTAAACATCGAGCTTCCATATGATCCAGCAATTCCACTCTAGGTATTTACCCAAAGGACACAGAAACTAATTCCAAAGGGCACCTGCACCCCTATGTTTATAGCAGCACTGTTTACAATAGCTAAGCTATGAAAGCAACCCAAATGCCCAAAAATAGATGACTGGATCAAGAAGATGTGGTACATATACACAATGGAATATTACTCAGCAATCAAAAAAGATAAACTCATGCAGTTTGCTGCAACATGGATGGAGCTGGAAGGGATCATGCTCAGCGAAATAAGTCAGAAAGAAAAAGAAAAATACCAGATGGTCTCACTCATAGCAGGAATTTAGAAAAGCTAAATAAGAGACCAGGAAAAAGAGTAATTAATACAAAGTAAAAATGAAAATCAACAAGCAACTATAAACCAGAGACACACTATGTGGAGGGGGAAGGAGGGACGGGGAAAGGAAGAACTAGAGTCAAAATAAGGGGGGAGGTGCAATTGTATGGGCAATATAACCAAAACAAAATTGCAAACATTGTGCAAAGATGTAAGAATTATAAAAAAAAAATGGATATTTCTGAAGAAAGTAGTTACCATTTTGTCCTTATTTCTCTGCTTAAAGAGATAGTCCATCCTATTCTCATCTTTAAAATAATCAAGACTTATCTATGGTTCCTTATCGTTGAGCTGCTCTGAGCCAAATTCAGGACATTGGATCATATGAAGAGGAAAATCATCGAGTGCAGTATAGTACAAATAAAGTAGATGGACTTGAAAGGAATCACAAATGCAATTGCATAGATGAAAAGTGCATTTTCTTAGTTCAATGACATTTTATTCAGAGTGACACCATGTTTTAGAAAGATATGATACTTTGTTATCAACCTTGCATATATAAATTTTAAAAACCTGTTTGTCAAGCTATAAAAAAAGCTATTAAGATACTAATTGCTCATCCTTCATCTAGTTCCTATAATTATCCTAGTAATATGCTGGATTTTAAAAAAAGCAGCAACAGTAGCAGCTTTAAAAATGACTTTAGTAAATACCTAGGAGTGGAATTGCTGGATCATATGGAAGCTCTATGTTTAGCAGGTCAAGAAATCTCCACACAGCTCTCCATAGTTGTTGGACCAGTTTGCACTCCCACCAGCAGTGCAGGAGAGTTCCTTTTTCTCCACACCCTCGCCAACATTTGTTGTTGCTAGTTTTTTTAATATGTGCCATTCTCACTGGTGTAAGATGGTATCTCATGGTAGTTTTGATTTGCATTTCCCTGATTACAAGTGATGTTGAACATTTTTTCATATGCCTGTTGGCCATTTGTATTTCCCCTTCAGAGAAGTTTCTTTTTAGCTCTTCTGCCCATTTTTTGACAGGATTATTTTCTTTGTTGTTGTTGAGTCTCATCAGCTCTTTGCAGATTTTTGTGATCAGTCCTTTATCATTAGTGTTGTGTGCAAAAATGTTCCAAATGACACAGAAACATCAACTCCAAAGAGCACCTGCACCCCTATGTTTATAGCAGCACTGTTTACAATAGCTAAGCTTTGGAATCAACCCAAATGCCCAAAAATAGATGACTGGATCAAGAAGATGTGGTACATATACACCATGGAATATTACTCAGAATTCAAAAAAGATAAACACATGCAATTTGCAGCAACATGGATGGCGCTGGAAGGGATCATGCTCAGCGAAATAAGCCAGAAAGAAAAATGAAAAATACCGGATGGTCTCACTCATAGCAGGAATCTAGAAAACTTAAATAAGGGACCAGGAAAATGAATAACTATAAGAAAGTAAAAATCAAAATCAACAAACAACTATGAACCAGAGACACTCTATGGGGTGTGGGGAGGGGAGGGATTGGGGTCAAAATAAGGGAGTTGCAATTGTAAGGGGAATATAAAAATAAAATTAAAAAAAAAAGAATAAAATCTAAACCAAAAAAAAGTATATTTAAGAATTCTTAGAACTGAAACAAAAAATCTTAAAGACTAAAGAAATTCAAAAAAAATAAACTGAGCCTGAAATTTATGTAATATAATGCAATGTTCTCTCAATAAAAGGAAATCATTTAGCACAGTAAAAAAAAAAATGACTTTAAAGCCACTCTGTTGCAAAGGCTTCTATGGAAGCCTCCGCTGATCGGTCATGATTCTAAGTCAGTGGACACATGTGAGGCTTTGTCGTATGTACTTTGTCTTATACATGAAGGCCTTTGCCATTTGGTCCTCCACCCATCTTGCCCCTCTCACCAATTCTCCCTACTTTTCTTGTGACTGCTTCCCTAACTGCAGTGGCCTCCTTTGTCTCACAGACAGAAATGCCAATGATGAGAATTCTGCGCTACAAGGCTCTGGGAATGAGGCCAAAACCATGATTCGTCAGGTAAAGGAATGAATATAAAAGTAATGATGTGGTATAATGGTGGGATTGAGGCTTCACAAATACTCTTAAAAGTACGATCTCATTGTATCCTTTCAAAATATTATGAAGTTAATAGAATCATAGCGATATTTAATAGACAAAGATGCTGACCCCAAAGTGTCTTTGAGACTTAGTCAATGTCATAGGATAAAATCAGACCTAGGACTTCCTGGGTCTGCACTGATTTTCTTTTATTCAGTCACGTTTATTCATCAAATGTGTACTGGAAGCAAGCTAAGTATCTGTCCATAGAGGAGAGCTTAGCTAAATGAATGCATTAATAAATAAGGCAGAATTAACAGTGCTGAGTATCTTAAAGATGTGTTCCAATTAAGGGAAGAACCATACAATTAGTAATTTTAGTGGGATTGTCAATATGAAGGAAAAATGTTTGTGGGGAGAGATGTGTCATGGAATAGATACCCCTTGAGTGGTATTGGGTACTGTATGGGCATAACAAACCTCTATAAAATTTTATAAGGATGACTATGTAAATGATGATAAAAAGAGAGTTAAGTTATTTTCATTAAAGAGCTTAATGGCACTGATAGGAATTAATAATTAGTAAACAGCAACTTACAGATTGAGATACCAAATACTTATTTCTTTAAGGGTCTTATATATTAGTCCCTCAGTTGTATGTGTACAGGAGTGTGTGTGTGTGTGTATGTGTGTGTCTGTTATTTTCCCTCAGTAGATAGGCCCATTGGGCTACACCAAACAGGCATGCATGTAAGCTAACTTGGGAAGTTAGGAGAAGGCTGTGCCTTCTGTATCTAAGGCATAAGGTAGATAGAAATTGACAGTATTCCAGTGTGAAGTGGGAGAGTGAAGCTGTGTGGTGTGGAATGACTGTCCCATGTAGAACAGAAGGTAGATAGTGTTGCTTAACACACATTAGAGTGGCTGTCCCTTAGGAAAAATGGTCAGAGGAAAATTCAAGTCCTTTGGTCTTTCATAGTCTTTGGAGAAAAAAAATTCTCATCTTAAAAAGAGATGGAAAGAAACTCCAAATTAACAGATTAGAAAAATGTAGTAGCGAAGGCCAGGAACTGATAGGGATGCAATAGTTCACATAAGAGATGAAGGTAGTATGCATTTAGTGATGAGGGAGTACAGGAAACTAATCTGGGTGGTATTCAAGGGATAGAATTCCGGTACATGGTGACTGACAATCACGTCTGAGAAAAGGTAAATACCTAGGCTATGGCTTAACCCACAGAATGAATAGAATAACATGTCAGGAAGTAGGAAGAAAAGAACAACTCGTGGGGTAGCATAAGACAAATTTAAGATAAATCAAGTTTCAGTTAATGTGCATCTGTAAGATTTTACGTATAGCTGGATACTCATGTTGGGGAGGAGGAATTTCCTCCTACCACTGTGGGTTCTTCTTGCGCTGGTCAAATAAATAAATGTCATATTAGTTGAAGAAAACAAAACATTTAACTATATATGTATGGTTCGCAGGTCAGTGAGGGGAAAATGGAATCTATGTCCTGAGCTAAGCAATGGGATAGGGGCTTGGTCCTTCAGGGTCAGGGAGGGCGCTCACATGATCAGGAAAGGGTGACTCATAGGATGAAGACCAGATGCTTGTAAACAGGTATTTTCCCTGCCACACAAATAGGTTTCTCTGGTAGACCCTATTTTCTGGTTATGACCCTAAATCTGGGTAAGACTCCCAACTTACATCTTGTAGGCAGTTAAGAGAGTGGCAAAAGTTTCCATGAGCCTGCAGGGCCTCCTGGACTATAGTTTGAGGTTATCCAGCTAAAGGGACTCATCTTGGGAAGACCTGTTTTGAGCATCTTGGGGAGGCCTGTCTGTTGCCCATATCCATAGACTTATCCATGGGACTTTAAGGACCAAACATATGTTTGAGTTATTCGCGAAGAACCAAGTGTGTGCATGAGATTTCCCAAGACTCTGGCTGGCAGGCAGGGAGGATTGTGGATTCTTGATGATCTGTCATCCAATAAGCGAAGGTCTTGGCAAGAGAAATTGAGGAGCTGTTATGGTGATAATGTAACATCAGGAGAGGGGCATTAAAGGTAGAATAGTCTTGAAGGAAGGGATTATAGATCATTTTAAATGCTCAGTGAAGTCAAGTAAGATAAAGATTGAAATTGATCCACTGGATTTGGCCATAGGGAGTTCAGTGCCAACTGGTGGGGTGTTGGGGACTGAGGCAGAGTCGTGTATTGATGACAAAGGGGGCTGAACAGCAGGAGTCAGCAGTCATGGACAACTCTTCCAGAAGAAACATGGACATGGAGGCCAGTAGAAAAAGGCAATGTCATGGCTAGAAGAGGTCATGGGATTGAGGGAGGATTCAGACAACTTGAGAGTATTTAAGTGTTGATGGATTGATCCAGTCAGTCCCTTGTCTGTATTCTTGGTTACATTTTATCAATATCTTAGTTACCATTGTCTAAAAACTACATGGCATGGTAACAATAACAAGAAAATGTCTTAGATTGATTTCTTCATGGAAAATTTTGGAGAAAGCTGAATAATTTTCAGCATATAAATGATTGTATATCTGGAGCTTTCCCATTACGTTCCCCATTATCCCATGGGAATGCTGTTTCCAGACCTCAAAAATAATCTACCAAATAGGACTGTTCTAGTTTCGGGGAGCAGGGGAAACCTGTCACATTGTGCACTCATTATTGTATGCATGCCTTTATAGGATAGTTGGTTGGTGACCTTAAGGTGTATTCAGATGGAGTAAGCATCTAACAGAACACAATCTTAGCAGTTTTTAGCATAGCTTTCCCCCAACAACCCATCTGTTAAGCTGCATCTAAAAGCCACCACTCTTGACCTCTTCATCCATCCAGTGTTCCCCTCTCCTTCAAGCTCCTGCATGTCTGCAGACTTTCATTTCTGCTCAAGTTACGATCTTTCCCTCTCCCTTTCAGGGCACGTATTTCTCTATATCTCATTTGTTTGGCAGCTAGTGATAGTTTGCTTTGTGGTAACTGGTGTCAGTTTTACAGCTTTTCAAATATTAGTGTCCATAGTGCCTCAACCAGATTGGAAACCCCCATGGGGCCAGTCCTGTTTTGCTCATAACCCCTTGTACTGTTCTTTGTATGCCTTAGAATGTTCTGATAGGGTAGGGTTAGGAGAGGACAGGAAGTTGGGAAATGATTGGTTATGAAGTATTTCCACTCTGTACAGCAGTAAAATCTCCTTATGATTTTAGGAAGCCCAGGAGGAACCAGAAACAATACATGAACATAAAAAAGAATGTGCCACAGAAGGTAAGGAATGTTCTGTCCCAACTGCCATGTGAACTTTTATATTGTTCCCTGCTGAGATTTTTCTGAGTGAAAGCTTCCCAGGTAAAAAGATGAGGCATCTTCACAAATTTTGCATCTATGTATAAAATCAGCCAATAGAATCAATTCTTGATTCCAGTTATATGATTTACAGATATCTACATTTGTGTTGCATTAATGATTAAGACCCAGAGTACTTACACTAACTATTGCCCTGTGCTGAACCTAGAATCAAGCTAATGTTCGTAGTAAATTCTGAACTCCGGGCCTCCCCGGTGGCGCAGCAGTTGAGCGCTGGGTTGTGAAGCTGCCCGCAGCCTCTGCAGTGCCGGTCCGATCCCCAGCTGCTCCCCGGCCACTGGAGGAGGGTCCCACATGGCGACAGACCTCTCCTGCCGCCCGCTGCTCCCCTCAGCAGTGTATTTCGTCAGTCTGCCTGTTCTGTTCTCCTCTCTGGCTCTGGTGAATTCTCTCACCCTCCCACGCTTCTGGCTGTACCCAGTGCTTGTATGTATGTATGTATGTATGTATGTATGTATGTATGTATAAATAATCTTTTTAAAATAAATAAATAGATTCTGAAATCCACCTTGAGATTATTTTCAGTATCCCACCTAAAAGTAAATAAGCCATGCGTGTTGCTGCAAAAGGCAAGAGTTATTCTTTTTTGATCAGTGAGTAGTAGTCCCTGTGTATTCCTACGATATCTTCTTGATGCATTCATCTGTTTTGGGGCATTTGTGTTGTTTCCATATCTTAGCTATTGTAAATAGTGCTGCAGTAAACATAAGAGTGCAGGTGCCTAGTGCGATCATAGTCTTCTGGTAACTACCAAGAATTGGGTAAATTGAGGGCCTCCCTGTTGGTGCAGGGGTTAAAGACAGCACTGTCTTTAACCAGCCACCAGCCACTGCTGCACAAGTTCAATCCCCGGCCTGCCAGGGAGCAACCCACATGGCTCAGTGACCTCTCTTGCCTCCCCCGCTGCTCCCCTCAGCAGTGTATTTCAGTAGATCTGCCTGTTCTGCTCCCCACTCTCTGGTGAATCTTCTCAGCCCCTGCATCTCTGGTTGACACCCCAGTTCTTGTATGCATAAATAAATCTTTTTTAAAAATTGGGTAAATTGAATGCTCTTAATAACAAATATCTTCTTTGTGAGGTTGTCATGAAGAGTATCACTAAATGTTGTAAAAAGGCTTGTTGTGGGTCTGGCAGAGAGTATGCCTGTGCTAAATGGCTGATACCACATTCATTGTTGCTGTTACTAGGCTGTTATTACTAGTGTTGCTGCTGCTGCTGTGGGACAGAACAGGAGCAAGGGGCAGAGGACTGTATGTAGATAGCCCTGAGATCAAATCAAATAAACATTCAAATGCAGAGAGGACAATTGAACTGTCCCTTGACTCTGAAACATCTTTATCTTTCAAGGACCACTCACATGCTAAAATGGAAATCAGTGAATTTACTGCCACAGGATCCCCGTAGCAGAGCATAGCATCCTCTTATATTTAAGCAAATGTATTATTAGCTATCGTCTCAGACTCTTTTCAATAAAATGCCTTTGTTAGTGGAGAGGACACAACATTTGATCAAATGTGACTTTATCTGTTAGGCCTTTTTAACCAAATGATATGTTGTCTTTTTAACAGGCACAGCTGTTTCCCCTCCTCCTGCAACCACTGTGAAATCAGTTAGCATTAGACAAAATGACAAGTAAGTTCTCCACGCAGCATGCTACGATTTTTTACTTTTCACCTTTCTATTGACTCAGGTTTAAGTAAGTTCTTTGTCTTATCCTATAGCACTTCTGCCAACGAGAAGGAGGTGGAGGTGAGCTGAAACCAAATGTTTTTTTCTTGAATTAAAAATAAATGTCTCAGGTCACCTGCTCATTGCTTCATGCTTTTGCACATGCTTGATCCATTTGGTGTCTGTTGGGCCTGACATTGGCTCAGTGCAGGTAAAGTTTCTGCGTCTATGTGTTACTTTGCCGGGAGCAAGAAACGCTTCAGTATGATCTGGCTTTTAATTTTTCTCCTCTCACCTTCACAGTTTTCTCCTCTCACCTTCACATTATTTTGAAACAGGCCGAATTTCTCAGATTATCATTGGCCTTTAAATGTGACTGTTTCACTTTGGAGAAAAGAGTGAAACTTGAAGAAAGATCCCGTGACTTGGCAGAAGAAAATTTAAAGCAAGAAATCACCAATTGTCTAAAACTATTAGAGGTGAGAACCGTGAAATCTAGGGGCCACCCACTGAGTCATGTTGCTAATAAAGTCTTTAAAATTACTGTGGGACAGACTCAATAAAATTTGAGTTTATTTCTACAACTTAAACCAACACCCAGAACCAAGCTCTGTCTGACCCAAATGTGATTTAATAAGAATTCAGGATGAGGCAAAAAAAAAAAAAAATTGAGGAGGTGTATAGAAGTATTACAACTGCTGTTATCCTTACATTTAGCAATGGGTTGGAAAATCAAGAAGGCTAATTTTGGAAGAAGGAAATAAAAATTTAGAAACCATGTTTTTTTATTGTGGTAAAAAACGCACAATATAAAAGTTGCCATATTAACTATTTTAAGTGTACAGTTCAGCAGTGTGAAGTATATTCATCTTGCAACTGATAGTCCATACTAAGAGACATCCCCTGTTCCTGTCCTCTTGGCCCTGGTCACACCTTTCCATTCTGTGAACTGATTATTTTAGCTACCTCATATGAATGGAATCATACAGCATTTGTCTTTTTGTATCTGGCTTATGTCTTCAGAGTTCATTTATGTTGTAACATGTGAAAGATTCCCTCCTTTAGAAGCCAAATAATATCCCATTGTATGTATTTATCCATTCATTTATCAGGGGACATTTGTGTTATTTCCACCTCTTGACTATTGTGAACAGTGCTGCTAAGAATGTGGACATGCAAACATCTTTTTGAGACACTGCTTTCAATTTTTTTAGAAATAGGCCCAGATATGGGATTGCTGGATTATTTACTAGCTTGGTTTTTAATTTTTTGAGTAACTACCATATTGCTTTACATAGTGGTTGCATCATTTTACAATCCTATTAACAGTGCACCACGGTTTCGACTTTTCCACATTCTCACCAACACACTTCGTTCTGTCATTTTGATGGTACCTATTCTAATAGGGACAGGTGGTATATCGTTGTAGCTTTTATTTGCATTCCTGTGGTGACACATGATGTTGAGCCTCTTCTCATATGTTGTTTTGTACATCGTCCTTGGAAAAAAGTCTATTCAAGTCTATTCAAGATAAGTTGCAAATATTTTCTGCCATTCCATACCTTGTCTTTTTATTCTGTTATTTGACATACAGAAGTTTTAAAGTTGATTATACTTTTTGCTTTTGTTGTCATGATTTTGGTGTCAGATTCAAGAATCAGTATCAAATCCACTGTCATAAAGCTATTCCCCAGTGTTTTCGTCTGGGCTTTATACTTAGGTTTTTCAGTTTGAATTTTTGTATATGATGTAAGAATCCAACTTCACTCTTTTGTACATGGACATTCAGTTTTTCCAACATTTGTTGAGAAATTATCCTTTCTTTATTGTATGGAATTGGTATCCTTGTCAAAGATAATTTGACCATAAATGAGTATATTCTTGGGTTCTCTATTTTACTCTCTATTATGTCTATATTTATGCTAGTACCATCCTATTTTCATTACTGTAGCTTTGTAATATATTTTGTAATGCATTTTTTTAAAAGATTTATTTATTTATTTATACAAACACTGGGTACAGTCAGAAGCATGGGAGGGTGAGAGAATTCACCAGAGCCAGAGCGGGGAATAGAACAGAACAGACTGACGAATCACAATGCTGAGGGGAGCAGCAGGCGCAGCAGGAGAGACATGCCATGTGGGACCCTCGCAGGTGGCCAGGGATCGAACTGGCACTGCAGAGGCTGCAGGCAGCTTCGCAGCCCAGCGCTCAACTGCTGCGCCACCAGGGGAGGCCCTTCTAATGCTTTTGAAGTATTAGTTCTCTTCGTATGGTATTCTCTTTTCCCATTGTTCTTGGAATTTCCCAATCCCTGTAAATTGTATAATTTTTTCTATTTCTGTATAAAAAATTCCACTGGAATTTTAATACTGTATTATTGACTCTATAGATTGATTTGGGTACTGTGGATATCTTAACAAAATTAAGATGTCTTAATTTAGGATTTGTTTTTGTGAACATATCTTTCTAACTTTCTTCAAGATAATGGAACTTTGATTGCCATATGCATTTATATGTTAGTCAGTGTTGGAGTGACTTGTTTAATGCTTGAATAGGATGATTTTTAATATTTTGCTCTCTCCGTAGTCTTTAACACCTCTCTGTGAAGATGACAACCAGGTCCAGGAAGTCATTAAGAAGCTGGAGAAGAGTATAACATTCCTCAGCCAGTGCACAGCCCGTGTGGCCAGTAGGGCTGAAATGTTGGGAGCCATTAACCAGGTAATGTGTCTCCATTTCTCTAGTTATGACAAAAAATTACTAAGAGAACTTATTCTCCTGAGATTATAGATTACATTTTCGGGAAGAAGGTTTTTTTTTAAAAAAAAATTGACTGTACAATACTTCTGTTTTAATATAGAAAACAAAGGAAAGTAGAAGACACACATTAAAATGTAAATAAAAATGCCTAATAATAGCTTGCCCAAGGAAAGTCATTATAAACATTTTGTGATATTTTTTCTAGATACTCCATAGTGTTATAATCTGGTTTTACATTTAACATACAGCATAGATAACATTCTGTATGTCTTAATATATATACACATCATTTTGGTATTTTGTTGGTTGATTATATTATACATCATTTAACAATCCCATATTTGATTATTTCAGAGTGTTCTTGATATTTTTTCTATTATAAATGATGCTATAACATCCTTGTATGTATATCTTTGTACACTTAGTCATAGAGATGAAGACATTTAAGATTTCTTGGTGGGCAAACCTGTGGAAACTTTAATCTTATGAGTCTATAGCTAAGCAAACTTTAAATACATTTTCATAAAGAGACATTTAATCATGGTGATAGTTTTTGCTCAATCATTAGTGACACATTTGTAATATCCTAGTTCCTTTTTAACACCTTATTAGTGAATAATCATCTTTGTTTTATTTTTATTAAAGTTAGTATACATGGAGTTGGGGAGGGGTAAGAAGGCAAGCAATTCTACAAGGCTTCTTAACCCCATTTTCTGTGTTCCAGAACAAACAACTTTAATTCTTGGTTTGCCCTTATTTACATCCATATCTCTAAATAACATGCTTACACTCATAGTAATTAATTTTCATTTTTAGATATTTGTAGGTTTCCCATATGAAGATGACTAGATCTTCTCTTGAACGTTGCTCTCAAACCTTTCACTCTCTTATCCTATTCTCTTCTTTCCTAACCAAACTTAAATTCCATGTCAAATGCAGTATTTGCTCCCTTGTATAAACTTCCCCTCCTTATTTTGCTTTACATGGTTGGAAAATCTACAATCCTATTTATATACATTTCTCTACCTGCTCTGCCCTGCATTGCTGGAACATCCTCCCTGAGATGACTGAGCTCTCTTGAAATTCATCACAAACTCCAAGTAGGTCCTTGGGGTATCCTATCATTTACCCTCCCTCTCTTCTAACTACCATGGTCACATAGTCTCCTCCACCCTCCAACCACCATCATGTCCTCACACATCATCTCCTTCAAATAATGACTTTGCTTCCTAACTCACTACCTAACTGAGAAAACTGCAGCCTTCAGAAGGAAACTTTCACAAGCTCTGAAGCTACTAGCATCCCAGTCCTTATACTTCACCTTTCTTCCTAGTACTGACCATAAATTGTCTCTAATCCTAAGACACACCCCCCCATCTGCCCTTATACAACATCCCATTCCCTCTCAATGATTCAGGGCCTTGGGCCTCTATCCTCCCCACTTTCTTCTGTCTTCAGCGTCCCCCACTCTACCATGTCATTCCCACCAGCACGCAAATGCAGTCTTTCAACAAAATTTTTGACCCTGTCTCATCTGGCTACCGCCTGATTTCTCTGCTCCCATTCTCTCCGAAAGCAACTCTAATCAGCTTCAACTCCTCGTGTTCTTTCTTCCTCCTGCTACATTAGAAATGGCTGAGCAATTCCTCCCCCCTGGAAACACTCTCATTTGGCTTTTATGCACCATATTCTTCTGGTTTTCTATGTTATGGGCCACTCCCTTCCAGGCTCCTTTCTGGGTGGCACCCTTCCTCCCAGACCTCTTATTGTTGATGGGTCCCAGGCCTCCACCCTTGCACATCTGATCTCCATCTGCTCTCAGTCCCCATCTGGTCCTATGCAATCAGCTGTTGACTCCCAAATTCACATGCTTAGCAGAAACCTCTCCCATGGGTTACAGATTAGAATATATTACTGCCAACTCAACTTTTCCACTTGAAAGTTTGATAAACAACTCAAACTTCACATATCCACCACTGAACTGCTCATGCTCCCTCTAAAACCTTCTCCATCCATATTCTCTTTACCTCAGTCAAAAGCTGCTCTGTTCTTGTACTGCTTAGGCTGAGAACCATTGGGAGTACTTATCAGTATTTTCTCACATCCCCATTCAATTCTATAGAAAATCCTGTCCACTCTAATGCCAAGATATATTCAAAACTTATTTCCTTAGCCACTGCTACTGCCTTGATCTAAGCCACCATTTTGTTTTCCCCAGATTAATAAAAACCAGACTGGCTGATGTTAGGGCATTTCTGCTAAGTTTCTTAGATGGGCTTGTGGTATTGTGGTTGCTTAAGGACATGCACCTCCTATTTTGATTTCCTTTTTTTAAAAAAAATTCCCAAATATTTAAGAGTGAAAGAGTAGGCTGTTCACTTGATTTTAAAAAATATAATTAAAATATTGGGAAGAGATGAAATTCATGTCAAAGTGTTGATAGTTCTTGAAGCTGGTTGGTGGATAGGTGTGGATCTGTTTGGAAAATTTCATGAAAAAAATTTTAGTTAAAAAGATAAGTGAATAATGCTAGATCTATATTATGTGTAAGCATAACTATGACTGTAAATTCTGTCCATAGAGACCATAGTCTATTATGATTTTCCCCTCTGCACAAATTTATGTTGTTCCTAGAATTAATCATTTTCTTTGCCATGATTGCTACTTGCTTACATTTCCATGTCTAATTACCTCACATTCATTCCCAAGCTCTTCTAGAGGGTGTAGGTATCACAATACATTTAAATTCATCAATACTATCATTTTCTTCTTGGAGCTGGTGTTTCCAGATATTTCCAACCTGTTGCAATCCGGACTGGCTGGTGTGTTGACTGACCACACAAGCATTGAAAATCTTTATACAAAGATCCCTTCACTTCTCTCTCAAGTGGAATCCTATTTGCTGAATCTCATGCTTCCCTTTTGACTGGACTATTTTTTTTTTTTCCTATTGGTACAAATTCTTACCTAGTAACTTCCTGAGAAAAAGAATGCATGATTAGTAGTCAACTTTTTGAAACGTTAGAGAACTGAAAATGTCTTTATTATCATAGGGGATGGTCCAGTTTTACAAAGGATTCTAGGTCAGAAAGCCATTTCCTTTAGAATGTTTATCATGTTGTTTCAGATTTTTCTGATGTTATTGAAGTTTGATGCCATCCTTACTCTTTGTTTATAACTTCTTTTAATTTTCCACAAGCTTTCAAAATATTCCACAAGCTTTCAGAGTGTTCTCTTATGTCTACTTTCTTCCCTTGTTATAGATTTATTTTCATCTACTGGATGGACATTTTCAAGTTGGCAACTTATATCTCTGAGTTCTAGAACTTTTCTTCAGTTACTTCCCCTTCTACTTTTGTGGAAATTTTCTACGTTTTCTATATGTTCTTGAATTCCTATTTAGAAAGTGCATCTTACCCTTTTCATCTCTTTTCTACCTCCTTGTCTTTTAACTCTAGCTTCAGGGTGATTTCCTCAACTTTATCTTGAAAATTTTCTATGAGTTGTTATTTTTGTCATGTTTTAAGTTCCTGAGTTCTTTATTTTGTGGATATTCCTTTTTAATGTAGCTTGTTTTTATTTCATGGATGCAATACTTTTAACTCCAAAGATGTTGATAGTTTCCTTAAAGTTTTAAATTTTCTGCAGTTTACTTCAGTTGGCTTTTTTGTATTTTCATAGTCTGCATTTTAATTTTCTGCTTTCATGCTAGAGGTTTTCCTCTGCATGTGAGGACTGTCGCCCACCCCCCCCCCCCCCCCGCCGCCCCCAGACAGCTGAGCGGGAGCTCTGTGTGTGGGGTGTGGACAATATTTAGCCACACTGAGCTTCACATAAGGTAGGCTATTTCATTGGGGTATTTTTAATCTTGGTAGTTTTAGGACTTTCACCTTGGGGTGTTAGATTCCTCAGAGGAAAATTTCCAAACTGCCTGCCTTGAGAATCAAAGCCCAGTACCACAGGGAGCTAGAAGGAGGAAAGCGGCTAGAATATATAATTACCAATAAGTATGCAGAATTTTGCTGAAATCTGCTTTTTAGAATGTTTTATTCGCCACCAACTTTCTGTTACTCCCTGATTTCCATACCCCCTATCTAATTCTGTGTTGAATCATTGTAGTCTTTCTTGTTTGGCCTGGGGGGATCTGGTTTACAAATTTTCAACCATGTCTTCTGTGCATACATCTACCTTTAAGCACAATTTCAGAGGTTCACTAATTCTTGAGTCTTTGGGGCTTTCTGTGGTACAAGTTAGATTGCTTCTAGGGTTTTCTTGATGTTTTTTTTTTGAGAGTTCAGCCTTTTTTAGATATAGGTCATTTACCACTTATCCTCCTACTAACAGACTCTCAAATTTTGCCATCACATCCTCTTCTGTTCTGTTTACCCTGATAGATACATGCCTTTTTTTAAAAACAGGAAAAATACTTTGTCATTTTAGTGGTATGTGGGGATGGAATGAAGAGCAAGATTGTATTTGCAATATAAATGTTCCCTTTTTCCTTCCTCCTAGGAAAGCCGGGTTAGTAAATCAGTTGAAGTAATGATTCAGCATGTAGAAAACCTGAAGAGAATGTATGCCAAAGAGCATGCTGAATTAGAAGAACTGAAACAGGTTCTTCTGCAGAATGAAAGGTCATTTAACCCTCTTGAAGATGAAGGTAATTGAAATTTATGATAATGGTATTAGTGATGTTTTTCTAACATTCTCCTCTTTCTGTTGCTAATTCTTAATGTCTTTAGTGTGAGACCTGTTAAGGGGATAATTGCAGAACTGGTTCTCATTGTTTACATAGCCAAATGAAAGGCATCAGTTAGAAAATAGATGGAGAGACAAGGATTCTTTTGTAACAACATCAAAAGTTATTAAATCAATTTAGATTGCTGAGATATAATCTAACCCATTGAGATGACCTAGTGTTCTATTATTTAAGACATATTAGAATTGACTCCTTTTCCACATGGAAAGCAAGGTGCAATCATTTCATGAGCTGTTCTCAACAATGGTTTTGTATTCCTAAGAGAAGGACTGACCCTGGAGATGTGAACTCAGTGATGGATTGAAAAACAAGGGCACATAAGAAACCATGGAAAATACTTTACCATAAGGATGATAGAAATTTTATAATAGTTTTATTTTAAACTGATAACTTGTCTGAGAATTCTATTAATGATCATTCCCTCTCTGGAAAAGAAACCACGTTTGATCATTTATTCAGTAGACATTGCCATGGGATCTGCTGCGTACTAGCTATGAACCGTGGCCCTCTGCAGACATAGAAGACTACATTCCATTGGTGGGATGGGAATTGTTATTGGAGGGATGGAATTGTTACCACCAAATAACCATATTGCTCAGTAATCTTTAGGGTCTTAAATAATTTGGTTTTCTTTGTAGAGAATTAAGACCACTACATACATGTGCATATGCAATTCCTAAAATGTACAAAGGTGTTTTTCTTTTCAGATGACTGCCAAGTTAAAAAACGCCCCACTTCTCTAAACTCCAAGGTAATTACCAATTGACTTAATAGCTATCTATCCACTATTACAGGTGAAAAGATTTTAAAATGTTATTGGAAACCACATGATTTAAATGTAAATCATAAAACAGCAGTGATTCTGATTCTGATTTGTGTATGTATGTTTATGTGCTTGTTTTCATGTTTACAGTTATGCTTTCACATTTCGTGCTATATTTGAATGTTACTCAGGGTTGCCTGGTAAGGCGAGGAAGGCCAGTGTAGTAGTTTCTCGTGCAGAACTGATGTTGAGGTTGGCAGTCTCACAGTAGAGAACCACCTCACAAAATCAAGGGGGGCTGGTCTCCTCTCCTGATTTACCGCCCTCAGCCCTTGGCTCTGCCTTAGGGGGAGAGATGGTTTCAGTTCGGGGCATCACAAGTCCTTCTAAAGATACTTCCTAGAAGTCCCACTTAACATTTTCCTCTTCATGCTTAACTGAAAATCAAGGTATTTGTAATAAGAAGGGGCCGGTGGTAATATTAAAAGTCAACCAGTAGTTTTTGCCACAGTTTGCAAATCAGGATTTCACAGAATTTTTTCATGGTATTGAGCAAGTTACTTTAAAATCATTCCATTCAAATTTCTTTCATGGATGAAAAGTCAGGTTTATAGAAGTGATTAGTGATGATCATGTAATGGTAGATCCATGATTAGTACCAGGTTTCTTGCTAGTACTAATTCTTTTGCTTAACAAATCTGTCATTAAATTAGGGGTGGTGGTTTAAGAAAAGGATTCACCTAAGACCTTTATTTCCTGAATCTGTATTCCCAGGCTGATACAGAAACACATCCCTTCATTAAAATATCATACCCATCCTTGAATGTTAAATGGAAAAATTCAGGCACAGGGATAGAGAAGGTATAAATACAGGTGCATATTTATCTCCTCAAGTTGGAGGAAGTTATTCTAAGTATAAAAGAAATGGTGGCAAAAGAATAGACAAATTTGGTGCATTGACAAATTTTGTATGCACAGATCATAAATGTGGTTTCCAGAACAGATGGACACACTTGACTACTTGACATATAGTGTTCAGTGTTAGAAGTCAAGTCATGTAAACCTACACAGAATCCTTATACTGTGTGCAGCTGCTCCTTGAGGCTGCAAGCCAGGGGCCCAGATATCAACAGTTTGCTAAAGGCTAAATGTCCACTTTCTCCCTTGGGTAGCCATCTTCTCTAAGAAGAGTGACCATTGCCTCTTTGCCCAGAAATATTGGAAATGTAGGAATGGTAAGCAAATTCTTCTTTTTAGTCAAAAGAATATTCATTTTTAGATGACAAAGATATAAACTTCATTAAATTCACATTTATCATCTCTTTACACCTCTGGATGTCAAAGGTGACTGGGATGGAAAATGAGCGATTCAGCAGGAGGTCAAGCAGCTGGTAAGTGTAATTTTATGGCTGTTCTTGAATGTTACTGTTATATAATTTGACTAAATTATGTTTGAACTGAGTAATATGATTTGTAGAGAGCATAAGAATAGTTACAAAAATTGGCTATGGTCATGAAGTAGTTTTGTGAACTGTTTTGTGAGTGTGCCAAGAAAAAAAATGAATATACCATTTTGCTTTGATTTAATAGGAAGTCTCTTAATAATGGCTTCAGATATTTTGACTTGACAAGTGGCTATAATCTTTATTTAGGCGTATATTGGGGTCCAAGCAGAGTGAACACCGGCCCTCCTTACAGCGATTTATTAGCACCTATTCCTGGGCAGATGCTGAAGAAGAAAAACGTGAACTAAAGTAGGTATTTATTAGTAGTTTGGCATTTACTAACCTGACACTAGCTGGGGCAAATATGGTAGGGATCTTCTATTCCCTGGACAGGAGACACTGCTGCATCCTCCAAAAGAGGACTGTCAGACTTTTCTAACCTGTAAACACTGTGTTATTTATGAATACATTCACTCCAGTGACACTCAGGACTGCAAGTTTTGAGGCCTTTGTTTAGAAAAGATCGTGTAATTTGCCAGATTTGAGAAGGTAAATTTTTTCCCCTATAGGTTTCTGGCCTCAGGGAAAGGTCAATAAAAAGTCACAGAAATTCCATGTCAATCTAGTTAGTATATAATCATGCTCTTACCTATCACACAGGTAAGTTAGCAACTGCTAATCACTGGGCAGGCTGGTAGGGCTTTCTTGCCCTGTTTCTTTATCTATAGAGATGGTCACATGACAATGTGGCAGACTCTGCTGGACCCCACACAACCTGGGGTAAGACACCGCCTACCTGGGCGCCTTAGGCATGTCCTGAGCTCTCTTCAGAAGTAGAGTTAAAAGCATATCTTTTCTGATTTGGGCAGGGCAAAGGGAGTTTCCTTCAAAAGATTACAGTTCATTTTTTGCTTTTGGTTTGTATGAAGTATGTGGTTTGTACTGAGAAGTCTTTGTAAACAAGAGACAAACCTTGAGAATGCACTTGATTCTGACTTTTTGACCTTGTTTCCTTTAAAAAAGAAACTAAAATCTACCACCTAGATTCTCTGCACATGCTTAACTGAAAAGTTCCTTTTTGCAATGGTGAGGGCATTATGAGCTTGGGATTTCAGAATTGAAATCCAGCTAGGGGCTTGTCAGTGAATATGATAGGAAAGCAATTAAGCACTGATCAAAAAATACAGAATCAACTGCTAATATAGGGTATTAAAAACTGGTTAAACACAGTTAACTGAGTCATAACCAACACTGATTATGATGCTGAGACTTGATTTTCCCCTTTTTATTTGCTCTTTGGCTATTTTATAAATACAAGGAGTTACTTTTTGAAATTAAATTCCTATAAAGCATAGCACATTATCCTTAGTTTCAAATATTTAAAAATCCTTCTTTACAGAACTAAAGAGGAGTCAGAAGCCCCTGAAGAAGAAACTGTAGAAAGGACAAGAAAGCCAAGTCTTTCTGAGAAGAAAAATAATCCTTCAAAATGGGATGTCTCTTCAGTGTAAGCTGTCTCCTTGGGGTGGGGAAGGCTAAAGCAGGAACAGGATTTGTCTTAGCCAGATGACATCAACGAAGCACCTGTCAAACTGGGATTTAGGATAAATAACTTTCCTGTAGCCTCCAAGGTTATCCTGGAGGCAGGAGCTCAGTGTGAGGCCAACTGGGCCCCAGGCCTAAGTGAGCATAATGTCATCATCTAGTAATGGTAAGAGAACCATATCAGGGAGTTATGATTAGCAGCATATGCACAATGCTTAGTCCAGTGTCTTGCACAGAGCACATCAAAGATGTATTTCAGTACAGCACCAGCCCATGATCTGGTGAGAGATGTACTTACCCCCACGCTGTGTGGGGGGTGGACAGATGTGTTTCTGATAAATCCTGAATTGGCTTTTCCTTACAGTCATGAGACCATGACTTCCTGGGCCACTAGCCTCAAGACGACGCTCAGAAACACCAACAAGGCCCTCTGGCTCTCAGCGGCCTTTGCTGTGCTGCTGGCAGCGCTGATGAGCTTCCTCACGAGCCGACTTGGGCCCAAGTCGGTGGAGGCGGCTCCCACCCAGGAGGGGGACTCCTGGATGTCTCTAGAACATATCCTGTGGCCATTTACCAGGCTGCACCACAATGGGCCACCGCCAGTGTAACTGCAGCTCATCCTAATGTATGTATCTTGGTTTTTAAAAAGTTTCAGTATCTGAATTTTGTAAATTAGTAACTTCTAGCTGAGAAATTACAGTGTGGTTCTTAAAATGACTTAAAATAATTTATTTCCTCTCTTATGACAACCTCCCCCACTAAACTGCACTGGGATGAAGGCTGCCCATGCTATTCAAGGGAGAGCTATGAGAGATGGTTTTTAAAAAATTATAGAAATAAAGTATAAAATGCTGATTGGATTATTTTAATAGTACCTGATTTTTCTCCAAGTTGTTTGATTCTTCTCAGTGGCTAAGAGTAGCTGAGCAACCTGGTAGAGAGAAGCATGTGGCATACAGAGTCGATGAACTGGCAGTTGGAGCTCCTGATTTTCTCCATTGCTGCTTGAGAGGCAAAATCCTTAACCATGTGATATAAAGTAGAATGAAACTCGGTTTCTTCCTTAATGGAGTCAGAGAACACCTCACTGTATTCATTGATCTTGAGCCTCTGAGCTCTAGCAGCACTAAACATTAAAAGCGTCGAATCAGGATTCTGAATAGGTTCTTCTTTAGCAAGGTGTTCACTCATCTACAGAAAATTAGAAAGGTCTATTAGTACTTCCTCTTCTATTGGGTATTCTGGAAGGAAAATATTATTTGAAGAGCTCACTGACAAGTGAAGATAAATAAAAACAAAGCCTTAGGTACTGAACTCAGAATGGTGGTTACTCGCAGGGAAGGGTCCAGCAGGTGCTGTACCGGTGTGCTGGGGACAGTCAGGAATTACTGAAAACTGCAACTGTCCTCATGGAGCTTCTATTCTAGTGGGAGGAGCACATGAACAGGATAAGTGAAAGGGTGTTTATGCTAAAATGTCTACCAGTCAGCTTCTAGAATCAATAAGATGCCATCTTCCCCAGGTGATAGGAAAAGGCCCAGAAAGTCAACTAAGAAGCCCAACCTTTCTGAGGGCAGAGTTCAGTAATCATACACTTGGTACCATAATGGACAGTGATGACGTTTTAAAACTCCATTTTGAATGTTAATTCTCTCCCCCACATATATCTTGCAAGAGGAAAAACCATGATTTACATTAGCTTTGAAAGCACTTTACTTGCATGGATTTTTGTGTACAATACCTTAAATACAACTCTTGTTGAATCACACTGTAAATTCCATCTGCTCCAACCAAATGCAAATGAGGGGCTTAGCAGGGCCATTTGTCGATAAGCTTTCATTTCTACCAAAGCAACCTGGCAACATCAAACAAATAGTTGATTGTGGAGCTTCTCCATGAGTCCCCCTTCCATCCTTGTCTACTACCTATAGCCTACTGTCCGGTATAGAAAGTTCCACTGAAAAGTCAGATTATGTGACTCCTCTGTCAGAGTAGAATCCCAAAGTCCCAACAGTGATCTACAGGGGCCTCTGTGATCTGACACCCCCACATTTTGCCCATCTGAAGTTACCTCTTCTTCTTTCTTTGCTCTCTTGGTTCCCAGCACCCTGTTCTCTACCTGGCAGCTTCTTTTCAAGGTATCCCCCTTGACTGAATTCCCCACCTTCATCTTTTGCTCATGTCCAGCTTTCTCATGGAGTTCCCCCAATGCCCTGTTTGATACCGCTCACCGCTCTGTCCGGATTCCTTCTTTTTCTGTAACAATGCCTTTAGCATAGTACAACATTTCATTTATTTGCCTCTTCTACTAGAAAGTAAGCTCCACCAGGGTAGAGGCCTTTGTTGTTCTGTATGTTAGCAAATACGATGCCTACAGTGTATATATAGATGGTCACAAAAATCCTTGGAGTTTTTTGAGATTAGTACACTACATTCAGCATTTGCAACAATTACCAGCAATCTGAGTTACTAAATCCAAAGTTTTTCTTCTCCCTATACATATTATGCTGTATACATTCAGTGATTCTTCTCAAATGTTCTAATGATAGCCACCTATTTTGTCATTTGTTAGTGCATTATAAACATGCTCTTGAGTATGCAGCTCTTTTGCCCAAAACACCTTTCATGATTAGAAGCTACTTGGTCTTTATTCATACATCAAAGGTATTTATTGAACATCTTCTATATTCTAGGAATATGCTAGGTACTACAAGAATCAAAGTTGATTACAAAACAGCTCCTGTCCTGGAGGAGCTCACAATTTAGCCAGGAAGGAGCTCATTTAACTAAAGGCTCATGCCTAACATGAAGCAGTGTGTAGACCAAAAACAGCAGGAAGTGTATGGCTTGTCCTTGTAGGTGATTATTTTTACCTGATTTGGGAAAGTGCAGACTTATTTACTCTTTCAAGGAATCTTATATATAACGAGTCATGGGATAAGTTGCTCAGACTGTCTTTGTTCTGCTGGCCAGCAATGGGTATGTATCATTTGTCAATACGAAGAGACAGGCTTATTTTCTTACTGAATATATTATTATTATTAAATTTGAAAGAACTCTACATTTTCTTGGCTTGCTATTTATTCATTTCTTCCTAACTATCATCTTGTACATGTGAATATAGAAAACCCATGGTATAGCTTAAGATCCACATAAAATTAATACTAACATTCTAGTAAATATCCAGAGCATAAGTTTCACAGATTCATTCTTACCTTATAGTTTATGACAACATAAAAATGAGAGTGTCCAGAAGGGAAGATATTCAATCCAATTTCTTTCAAGGCATTAATGAAAGAAATAGGAGTCATCCACTTTCCTTCCAAAATAGAGACTGTCTCTTGGTTATTTAGTTTGAGAGAGGCTAACATGCAGACATTTTCCTGGTTTCAATAAGAAAAAAGTTTAATAAATTATTTCATTATTGCTCACTCAAGTTCTAGCTTTGGGCTTTTATATATATTTTATATATATACACATATATACATATTAATCCTGTGCTATTCTATATTAAAAAGAATGCAGGATGGGTAGTTGTTAGGTCAGATCTGAAAATGCTACCACGAAGTCTCCACATTGCCTTAAGCAGTTTGCTTTCTAACTTTTTTTGGCTTCAGGTGAACAATTAGAGGACTGTAGTAAGCAATCTCTCAGGCCTCCACCTATTTCATGTTATGACCTAAAAATACTGCATATGATCAAGCCAAATTAAAATAGCTATTTGATAGCAATCACATCACAACTTTTCAAGATCATATTTAAATCTTACCTGTGAAAAAAACATAAATATATTAATGTAAATCACCCAGGCACAATTCAGTGATTTTTTTTTTATAACTTGACCAAGTGCTACAAATACCTTCAGCCTCCCACATTATGCCCATTAACACTTTCCATCCCAACCTTAGCCCCAGGCATCCACTCTGTCTCTGTATTTCAAGCTGTATAATTTCTGATGGACATGCAACAGATGCTTGTTGAAAGAGCAACTTCAAGGGACCTTCAAAAGGCTTAGCGATTAAATATCAAGAAACCTCTAAAAAAACATACACAAGCAGACCTGCACCTCCCTGAATTGCTTTATGGCTGATAATGCGGAGACAATTTGAATTTCCCTTATTACATATCACTGCCTGCCTATTCAGTTAAAATGTCACTTAAAAATTATAGCTCAAGATGCATTTTAAATATATTTCTAAAAGACATTTCAATGTGTAAACTACAGTGGGATGATGACTTGGACAAATGTTCTTACAGCCACCAGGTTTCCTGCTCCGATAGTACTTACCTTAATTTGTATTTGAATCTCAGCAAACACTGTAGTCACAGTCAAAAGTACTTTGTTTATATCAAGTGGTGTTAGTTCCCATGACTGGTATGGCATGTTAACATGATTATCCTGAATCAAGGTGAGAGGGCCGAAGGTTTCCAGGCTGAATGTCAGAAGTCTCTCCTTCGCTTTGTAAGTCACATTGCTGATGCCATCGGTTTTCCAATGCTTACCTTTATAATCAAGGAAAAAATGGCATTAGTGTCATTTCTTCCTACACAAAAAGATGTAAACCACACAAATGACTGTATTGTATTCTCATTTTTTAATTATATGAAGTTTTTATTATATACAAATTAATAATTTTTATAATTTAGAATGGAAGTGTAACAACAGCCCGTGTGCTGAGTTACTTCCTGCCCACAGGATCGAGGCCCAGCTGTTTAGCATATTTGTAAGACCTTCAGAATGAACTCTACTCACATTGGACTTCACCCCTGACACTTCCCTTCCCCAACATCATCACACCCTGTGCCACTGCACACACAGTTCTTTGTGCCTAGAGACTCCTCCTCACTCTTCAAGAGCCTCTCTTTATCTGTATTGAGGGCAGTTATTTTTAATAAATTTACCTGGTTGTGCAACCATCATCACAATCTAGTTTTGAAACATGGCTGTCTTCCCAACAAGATCCTTGCTGTTCATTTAGTTCCTGCCTCCAACTCCAGGCCGCCATTAATATATGGCCTGTCTCTGAAGGCATGCCTTTCCTGGCTTTTTCATATACGTGCAATCTTATGATAGTTTTTCTTGTCTCTTACAACTCAATAATAAACCACAACCCAATTCAAAAATGGACAAATAAAGATGACATAACAGACAGAAAATCCCAAAGATTAACAGGGAAAAAAACTCCAGTAAAAAAAAAGTTAGAAGTAAATACAGTAAAGAGGCAGACTATAAAAATATACAAAAACCTATTACATTTCTATATGCAAATAACTGGTAGGAGAAATCAAAAAAGCAGTGCTATGTAAAAGAATTCAATACCTAAGGATAAATGTAACTGAAGAACTAGATGATTTGTACATTCAAAACTATATGACATTGTTGAAAGAAATAGAAAAAGGCAAGAAAAAAATGGGGAGATTTCATGCTTGCGGTAGAATAATTAACATTGTTAAAATGCCTATATTAACCAAGCAACATACAGATTTAGTGCAATCTCTCTCAAAATCCCAATGACACCCTTCACAGATAGAGAAAAGACACAAAAGAACAACCCTGAAAAGCCAAAACAATCTCAAGAAAAATATGGAGGTATCATGCTCCCTGAATTCAAACTATTACAAAGTCATAGCAATAGAAAAGCATAGTATAGGAATAAAAACAGGCACACAGATCAATGAAAAACAACTGAGACCCCCCCCCCCAAATTCCTACACATATGAACAGCTATAGGTGGAGTTAAGATAGCCCACTGAACGGAGAAGATATTTATACATCATTATGTCTTGCAAGGAGTAATATCCAAAATACATAAAAACCGTAAAAAAATAGCCTGGTTAAAGAATGGTAAGAGGGTAGGAATAGACTTCTCCAAAGTGGATACAGATGGCCAATATACACATGAAAAGATGCTCAACCTGTCTTAGTACTAGAGAAATGCAAATCAAAACAAGGGGGAATGGGTTGTGGGAATTTTACGGGGACTATAATCAAGATGAAAATGCATACACTGTACAAAAATGAAAAATGATGTAAAAAATACACAAAATAATTAAAAAACAGAAAACAAGTGGCTGTCCCATCACATTGATGAGAATGCTATTAACCAAAGGAAAGGAACAAGTGTTAGAGAGGAATCAAGACAAGGGAACCCTTGTCTGCTGTTGGTATGAATATAAATGAGTACACCCCTATGGGAAACAGTATGGAGAGTCCTCAAAAATTTAAAAATAGATATTCCATACAATCCACTTACCCCAATTTTGGGTACTTAAGAAAACAAAAAACACTTGAAAAGAACCTAAGTGCTCATCAACAGATGATTGAATAAAGAAGATGTGATACACACACACTGGAATACTTCTGAGCTATAAAAAAAGATGAAATCCTGACATTTGCAGCAATATAATTATACTCAGTGAGATAAGTCAGATGGAGAAAAACAATCACCATGATTTCACTCATGTCCACATAGAAACAAATGAACTAAATACTACAAAAATAAACTTTCATACTCCAAGACTAAATTAGTGGTCACCAGAAGAGATGGGGTAAGGGAGGTAGGTAAGTCAGGTCAATTGGTGGTGAAAGATGGAATTTGACAGTTAGTGGTGAAATTAATGTAGTATATACAGATGTTGATTTATAACAGTATACACCTAAAACCTATATAATGCTATAAACAATATTATTGCAATAAAAAAAAAAAGTTGGCAAAAGATTTGAAGAAACATTTCATCTAAGAAAATATTCAAAGAAGATTCTCAACATTATCTGTTATTAGGGGGTAAACCAGGTGAGGTATCACTTCATATGCACTAGAATGGCTGTCCTCAAAATGAAATAGTGAAAATGCTTGCAAGGATGTGGAGAAACAGGAAGTTTCATATATAGCTACCAAGCTCATACAATGGTATGGTTATGCTGAAAGATAATTTAGTAAACTTACTATGTAGCTCAACGACACTTCACCCCTGGTGTACACCCAAGAATAAAACATACATCCAGACATAGACTTGCCTGTGAATGCTGCCTTCGTCCTGTAATATTCTGCCCTGATGAGCTGCCTTAACACTTCTAAACATGTTTGGCCTGAGGCAGCCTCGCACTGCGCTGTATTCTTGTGTGCCTCTCCTACAACTTTGAAAACCCTGAAGTTCACTGTGTCACTTCCGCATATGGATTATTTGAAGGTAAGGTTAATCAATGCCCTAAGGCTCCTAAGAAACTTTCATCAACTCCACCTTTATCTGTCTAAAAGAATGAAAATTAGGCTGTTACCCAGAATTAGGACGTGTTTATCAGAAACAACATATTGGAGAAATGGATCTATATGGCAGGGCCAACAATTACAGAGGCCTAGTGACCACCAGGCATCCCCTTCCTCTTGCTTTCAAGCCTCACTCCTGGCCTGTTCCTTGGCTCACCAGGTAAAAACTCACTGGCCCCCTTTTGCTTTAGAATCCACACCCATGTACAGTCTCCATATGTGTATGATTAAATTTGTTCTTATTTCTTACCCATCTGTTTGACATTAGTGAGTACTAAACTGGCTTGAGAAAGACCCAGAGGGAGCTGGAGGGAAATCTCTCTGAACCTCCAGTCCCCAGAGGAAGGAACTACATAACATGAAGGAACTACATAACATTTATCTCTACAATTCTTACTGTTTAGCATATGTACAGTACAAATAAAACATTCTTTTCCTAGACAGCATTCTCTGTTTCCTCTTAGCTTGTTTCTCACATAGAGGATTCTACTATTTTAGACTCTTAAATTCCACAGAACAAATACAATTAACATTGACAGATTCACTTTTAATTCCTTTTTAACAAATTGGAAACAATGTAAATAAAAAAACCCACAAATTTGTAAAGGTAAAAATAGTATTGCTCTTGAGTTCTCAAGTTGCTAGTATTACCTGGCAAAAAGTTTCCCCATGGTTTTGTAGGGGAGAAAAACTTTTTTTCCTTTACCCTTCTAGAATATTGGCTGAAACAGCCTTGTAAATAACATACAGATTAACAGGGAAAAAAACAAACTTAACTTCATACATAAGGAACCTCACAAAGGCATGAGACTCCCCAATAGGCCACTGACTCTTCTGTGCCATTCTGACTTGAGGAAAAGGGTAGGGCATCTGGGTCTTCAAAGAGGAAGAAGGCAACTCACAGGAAGTTGGGGCAAGGAAATGTCAGGTGAACAACTATTTACCATGTCAAGCAGAGTCAAAGGACACTGTGGGGACTGTAAATTAACAGGCCTCACTAATTTCCCCCAGTAGGCCCCACCTAATCCTGGGGCTAGCTCCATCCCAGGAACAGGGCCCCTACTTAAATTCTTATTTTTTTTTTTAAGATTTATTCATTTATGCATACAAGAACTGGGGTACAGGGCAGAGGTGTAGGGGGAGGTGAGAGGATTCACCAGAGACAGAGTGGGCTGGGAATGACTGAAATACACTGCTGAGGGGAGGAGTGGGCGAGTCAGGAGAGGTCTGCTGCACCATGTGGATAGCTCCCTGGCTGGGGATCGAACTTGTGCTGGAGTGGCTGTGATTAGCTTCATAGGCTGCGTCTTAACCCCTTATACCACTAGGGAGGCGCCCCCCCCATCTAAATTCTTTTAGTCTGCTAAGAGGGAGAGAAAAAGCCTTTCCAGAGACTTTTGGGACTTGATTACCTTCCCCTCAGCATAATCCACAAGCCAATGTGGCGTATTTGGGGGAGGCTTGTCCTGAGCACTCTCAGTTTGAAAATGAATACAGTGATAGATTAACTGCAATAATTAGAAAGCAGTAAAGTAAAATTTTGGGATAATCATATGGGATCATATGGGATAACTTATCTTGTGTAACACTAACTCAGTGTGAATTATTTTTAATTAATAATATTTGGGAACAGTACCATTAAAGGAAAGGCTAGCCTGTAAAACCACCTCAAAGGAAGAAATTACCTCAGTGTTCATTCTATTTTATAATTTAATGTATGAAAAGAAAAACACTGTTTTAATATTTAAATCAATTTCTAGAATGTAAATAATATCTGGTAACATGTCTGCACAAGCAAAACTGTGGAGCACTGTAAAAACTATAAAGAAGTTTACACTTGGGGGCCTCCCAGGTGGCGCAGCAGTTGAGCGCTGGGTTGCAAAGCTGCCTGCAGCCTCCACAGTGCCGGTTCGACCCCTGGCCAGCTGGCAAGGGTCCCACATGGCGCGCAGAACTCTCCTACTGCCCGCTGCTCCCCTCAGCAGTGTACTTCATCAGTCTGCCTGTTCTGCTCTCCGCTCTGGTGAATTCGCTCACCCTCCCGCACCTCTGACTGTACCCAGTGCTTATATAAATAAATAAATAAATCTTTAAGAAAAAGAATTTAAAAAAGTTTACACTTGGAAGAAAAATTTAAATTCTGACTAATAAAATAGATTAATTACTCTATGCCTTAGTAATCTTATCTGTCCCCAACTTATCACCAAGTAGGTAAGTATGTTCATAAATACATGGATGTAAAGTAATGCATGTTAAAACAAAATTCTTCAGGAGCCTCAAAACTGCATACATTAATTCACATGACCAAGACCAGTCTGCCCAAAATGAGATTATTTGTGAATGATTAGTGAGCCATTATCTTGTATCTGTTATTATTTCTGATTTTACTGAAATTTTAGTCAACATTACCTATGGCTTATAGTGGCCTCTTCTTGAGTTTCCCATTTTCCCACTCCCCTAAACCGATACTTATTTGTAGTAAGATTTGCAACTTATTAAAATAATCACATTTTATAATCACCCCCATCTGAAGTATTTGGTTATTTTAGGAGAGCTAGGCTTTTCATTTGTTCATTGGTTTTTGACTTGTCATACTGCCTTGATATTTTTGTTCATTTCCTTACTTTTATTAGATGTAATGATACAACCAAAAATAGTCATTCAGAAGCTATGGCATATATAAACACGTCAGGGAACTTTTGGGAACAGTACCATTAAATGGAAGGCTAGCTATAAAACAACCTGAAAGGAAGAAATTACCTCATTATTCATTCTATTTTATAATTTCATGTATGGTTAGAAAAACACTGTTTTTACTATTTAAATCCATTTCTAGAATGTTTTAGAAATTTGTTAATAGTTCTAGAATTCAATACATTTTTAAGCTCCAAAGCCTATTAATTTCCATCAAGAGAAAACAAATCAAAGGCCCTACAACTGGCATAGAAATGTGTAAGATTAGAAACTCAGTTTCCACATTGCTTTATCTATTAAAGACTTGCATTATCACACCGTTTTGATTACAGCATCACTAAAGTGGGTTACTACAGTGACATACCTTCAGCATCCCACCTGGCAACCATAGGTTCCTCAAAAAAGAGCACGTTGTCATGAACCTGCAGTGTGACTTCTATGGGTGGGAAGGCATTTTCTGCTTCCAAGTCTTCTGCAGTTTCTGGAGGATATGTGTATTTATGTAATCCTTCTTTGAGTATCTTTTAAAAATAATCAACACCAAATTAGAAACTGGTAACAGTTGAAGGTGTTAGTATCAATGAACAAGCTACATAGTTTATTTTTAAGCAATACTTCAATTTGACCCCATTTAACTACAAGTTGACTAATAAAGTGTCACAACAAAACTTAAAAATGCTGATTGAGGAGGAAAAATTGCTAATTTCAAATGTCATTACAGAATCCTACTATGAACAAGGTTTTACCCATTTTGTTCTTCCAGCCAATTCTACAAGGCATAGAAACACTTTTTACACCTTCAGCTTACAGTGTTGCATGTTAGTTATATCTCAATAAAGCTGGGAGAGGGGAAGAAGGCAGATTAAGCCAACAGCAGATTTTTCTGGGGTAAGGAAGTCTGGTGCACTCTGTGAATGCAGCAGAAGGGTCTAGGGAAGGTTTAAACTGTCAGAGAGGGGTAAATGGAGAAAAATTCTAATGAAGATGGGAGGTTACTGAAAAAAGACTTGCAAAAAAAATAAAAAGGAAGACCTCTTTGTCACAGGAGACAACATTTGGTGAGAATTAACTAACTTGGGCTCATAGAGAGAACATGAAGTGATGATATCAAAATACTCTGACAAAATTTGAGACTACTGATAGATCTTTAGATAAATCCTTGAAAACCTTAGCTCAGGTTGGGTCCTTCCCATGGATAAAGATTTCTGAAGGCCTGCCTTCACCAAAGGGATGATTTTTTAGGCTGAACACTATCCTACTAGTATCCAGAAATATGAAAAGCTGATTCCAATAGATCCTTCAAAGTGGCTTTGACCAAGTTATCATCCCCATACTTGCTCCACCAGCTGCCTTCTAAGTGGTTGGGAAGAATAGCAAGGAATGGCCCTAAAATCCCCAAGTGGGTGAAAACTAATTGGGGGGATTGTATTTGGTTACATATAAAGCACAGATATCCATCTAGCATGTACACAAATATAGATTATACCCGTGGTATTAACATTCCATGAGGGGACAACTAGGGGTGGGGGGAAGTCTACAAAGGCTCCTTAGGGGGTCAATGATGGAAGATGTTGAGAGGTACTGCTTCTAATCAAGAATACACTGAGGTCCTTCATGAATGGAATTGTAGGCAAGAATTACCTGTAATCTGTTTGCATGATATATTAGGGGAGGAAGCAGAAGTGTGTGTGGGGGTCAGGGAGAGACAAAATTAAAGACAGAGAAAGAAGGGAAGGAGAGCAAGGAAGGAAAAGGAAGGAGGAAGGAGCTCAGACAACCTAAGTGGGTGTATGTGGCAACCAAGCACGGTGGAGTTAAAATTAACCAAGTCAACAGTGCAAGTGCTATCACTTAACAGACAGAAGTGAGAAGCTCCTTGCAAGAAGATCAAAGAACTGCTGTCATCAGTACCCCCACAGCTCCAAGTGTGGTGCCTGCATGAGCAAGCAGCAATGGCGACCTGCATCAAGGCATCTGGAACCTTCATGTGCCTGTGCAGCACCTGAGGTTTCTCTGGAAATGCAGAGGCAGGAAATCAGAAGTGAAGCACAACTCACACCTTTCTAACCAGTGCTGCGCTGTGGTGCTGCTGCTGCTGCTCCTGCTGCTGGTCCAGGGTACACGTGCTGCACCTCAAGTATTCAGACCAGGGGCTCAAAAACTTTGGGATGTGTTTGAATAAAATACAGACTGTTGAATCTCACCTCCAAAACTTCTGATGAATACCAGAAATCCCACTAAAGTAGGATCTATAAAATTTTATTTATAGCAAATCCCTAGATGTTGCCAACATTTCTGGTCAAGGGAGCAAATGCTCAGAACATGTTGGGAACCAGCATCGACAAACGGCCCCTGGGGAATGTGAGCCAATACTAGTTTTGCAAATAAAGTCACTATAACACAGCCATGCTGTTCACTGATGCACACCTGTGTGTCAACATGCAGGGGAAGGTGAAGAATTGCAGCAAAGCTGGGATGGCCCCCAAAGTTGAAAATATGTAGCATCCAGACCTTTATATAAAAGTTTGCCACTCTCTGGTGCAAATTATTATCATTAATGCCACATTAGCACACTCTAAATGTAGTGACTTAGGTTTACAGTTAACATGTGTGGATTTCGGTTAAAAATTCACATTATTTTGGATTCCCTTCCCTTAGTATCTTTTCAGTACCTATAATTCAAGACAGTTAAAAATGACTTTTTTTTTTCATTTGTGCTTGCTTAATAGGGTTCAAGTTCATTATCTCTTAGATAATTGGACATACATGTGTAAGAAATTATTTTACTCGTAAATTTTGATTCAAGAATCAACCTACTTCCACAATGATCCAGCCTTTCATTGGTTTACACTGTGGGGGAAGCTCGAAAATATCCAAGTGGTACACTCCACCGAGTGTCGCGAACTGGCATGAATCAACCTCATTGTCGTCAAATTCACATAGCTTTTCTTGAACATTCTCTACCAGCGACAAGTGTGCTAAAATTAATCAGATTGATTTAGTTTCAAAAACAGTCTTAACTTTTTTGTATTTAAGAGGGAAATTTTTAAAATTCTGATGCTGGTAAATGAAGTTTTTATTTAACTAGCTATTAAAATTTTTACCAAAAAGGCTAATTCAAAACCATTCATGAGGTTAATTTGGGAAGTGGAAATAGGGACATTTAGTATACAGAGGAGAGCTTCAGTTATGCAATATATTAAGCTGTCAGGAATTTGCACACAATATGAATGTATTACAAAGAAAATAAAAACTTTGAAAATATATCTCATTGTAAGGGAGGAAAAATATTTTTCATAAGGGTGGCAGGAAAATGATAACGTTATAAACCTTGGCTAGTGCGGAAACAAAAGTATGTTGGGAAAGTGAAGAAGTAGACAAGGAGCCTGCTATAAAAATATGCTAAGAAAAACATAGAAAATAGATGTCTTATAAGTAACTAGGAAAGATTCCTGAGGAAATTCCAAAGGGAAAGAAGAGAACATTAGAGTTAATGAAAAAGATGTACATAAATCTCAAATTAAAATTTATAAATTAGTTATCATAATATTTTGATACTTTAAGCTACAGTTGACCTTGATGAAGATGAGGAATGCTGTCTGCTGTGCAGTCACAACTCCAATACAACTCGACTCCCCCAAAACTTAACTACTGATAAGCTGCTGTTGACCAGAAGCCTAACCAATAAGTTGAAATTAACACATATTTTGTAAATTATACACTGTATTCTTACAAAAAAGTAAGAGTAAACATTAACAAAATCATAAGAGAAAGAAATGTTTAGTACTGTGCTATATTTATTGCTGCCCTAAGTTTACATTGTCTGCTTACAAGAAAGTCAGTGTCTGAATGGACCCTCACAGTCCAAACCCGTGTGGTTCTAGGATCAACTGTCTATCCAGCTGCTATATGCCAGAACAAGATTGAACACAGACATGTTGAAAAGTGTGTGTGTCCTTATAAAAGTTTGCTGCATCACTATTTGTAACAAAAAATTAGAATTTAGTCTACAATAGGGATTTACATAATGTACCATTATTGGATATAATTATATAGCTACTAAAAAAGCAAAGTTACCAGTATGTTCTTACTTAGAAAAATGTTGATTATTAATTTATGTAGAAAGCATTGCTTTCTATATATGTATGTAGAACATATTATATAGAATATCAAATATTGCTAGGTGAAGAAACAATTTTCAGCAAAAAATGTGTGAGGAATCTAGAAAACTTAAATAAGAGACCAGGAAAAAGAATAACTGTAAGGGGGGTGGGGTGAGGAAAGGAGGGATTGGGGTCAAAATAAGGGGTTGCAATTGTATGGGGAATATAAAATTAAAATTAAAAAAAAATAATGAAATAGAACAAAAAATGTGTGATGTGATTGATCCTATGGTTTTATTAAAAATCATGAGACAGAGTGCATGCAAATAAAAAATACTTAACAATGGCTGTCTCAGAACAAGGACTATGAAAAATTTTCACTTTAAATATATTTCTTCAACATTTGAATTTTCTTTTACAATGACCCTACATTTCTTTTGCAAGCCCAAATTTGTAATAGTTACATTTAAAAAATACAATTTAGAAGATACCTGCTGAAATTCTATCACTTAGTAAATTCATTTCCAGTTCATATTTTTTGACTTCAGGGTCTTCCTGGACAGAACTCTACAGAAAACACAAGGACACAGGAGTGTGATAGTCAGTAGTGGTTTCAGCCCAGGTTTATTCTCTTTCTGTGCCAGTTCCCCCTTCAGGTGCATGCTACCTTAATTGGAGCATCCCAAGCTGACACTTGCTCTGGTGAAAAACTTGAATTGAAAGTAGTCTTTTCAAAAGCAATTAAAGTTACAGGACATATTCACAGAACTTCCCAAGAGCAGGAGCAAGCATCCTGGGATTCTTTGCTGAAAATCCTCCAATGTAAAAAGGAGAAACTAGGGAAATAATGTAAGCTATACAAATAGTACTTGCATTAGTTTTAACTAAGTTTTAGATTTTGCTTGATTTTGGCAATTAGATCTCTGATAGAATAATTCCAAACCCTGCTTCTGGGTAAGCATCTCAAGGAAATGAAAGATGGAGAAGATATTTTACTACCTCCTTATACTCTACAGCGGTCAAAATAATCCACAATGGGAAGACATCTGAACTAGAATTATATCTAAGTCGGCCAGTAAGTTACCTTTGTGATCTTATGTCAGTCATAGAATACACTTTGTAAACAATCCTAAAGAAATAGCTATTTTCTTAATTTATGTAGGGAGATAACTTTTCTAAGGGTCAAATAAGATAAAGAATTTGGTGTCCTGTAAAACAGTATATAAATACAGTACTGTTATAAAAGTGTGGTGTGTGTACTAATATTTGCAGATTGCATGATATCCAGCAAATTTCACTGGACCTCAAATAACTTACTTCCTCATGACCTGTTACAACTCTACTGAATTCTCTGCCAGCCATTTCTTTCTGCAGGCCTCTGAAACATCTCATTTAAGCACTAATTCATTCAACAGTTCGTACAGAGTACCTAAATTATTCAGGCATTGCTACATACTAGGAATCATAAAAGGAAAATAAAAACTATAAGAAGCTTGTAGTTTTTTAGGGAAGCAGGTAAACAAATAGGTCTGTAACAGCTTTGTGGGTGCCGTAGTGAAATGGAAGCGGACCACAACAGGGGTGAAGGAGGAACAGACAATTTCTGTGGGAAAAGGAGAGAGCGAAGATAGGAAATACAACCCAGTGGTGGTGAACTTTGACCTAAATTTTGTTGTGTTTTTTTTTTTAGATTTATATATTTATTTGTTTGTTTGTTTGTTTGTTTATTTATTTATTTAGGGATTTATTTATTTATTTATTTATACAAGCACTGGGCACAGTCAGAAGCATGGGAGGGTGAGAGAATTCACCAGAGTCAGAGCAGGGAGCAGAGCAGGCAGAAGGACCGAAGTACACTGCTGAGGGGAGCAGCGGGTGGCAGGAGAGGTCTGCAGCCATGTGGAACCCTCCTCCAGTGGCCGGGGAGCAGCCGGGGATCGAGCTGGTGCCGCAGAGGCTGCGGGCAGCTTGGCAACCCAGTGCTCAACTGCTGCGCCACCAGGGAGGCCCTTGACCTAAATTTTGAAAGACAGTTTAGTTTTTCCCAAAAATAGTGGGAAGTAATTGCAAGTGTGTGAGGGCAGAAAGGCATAAAGCAAAGTCATGGGTTCCAAACACCCAATGTGGGCAATTAGGGTTGGGGTGCAGCTGAAGCTGCAGCACGCAGCTAGATTGTGGCGAGTTCCAGTGCCACTCTGTAAAGACAAGCATTTCTCCTTTGGGGTTAAAAATAAAATTCTCCCATGAGACAATTAATTTGAGAGTAGCATGAAGAAATCTGTATTTGGAAGGGATATTCTGTGGCCAGCATCTGAGAAGGGCACTTAGGAGAGAGTGAGATGTGCAAGATTGGAGGCTAACAGTAAGACAAGGTAGACACAATCAGGGCCATGGGGAGGCACGCAGGTGAGGGGATCAGAAAGTAAAGTCGCCATTACTGGGATGGCAACTGGATATAAAATGAAGGCAAGGGACAGGTGAAGGCTAATCTTCACGTGTCTGGCTTAGGTAACAAGGTGGACAGTGGTAAGATTATCAGGAGGAAAGGAAGACAGGTTTGGGGAAAAAGGAATGAATTTGACTGTGAATATGTTGAATTACTGTGCTTTCTTATGGTCTTTCTTAGAGGAAGGATTCTAATCTTCAAAAATGCCAGATTTATCTGACCAATAAGCAAGTCAGGCTTTCTAAAAGTTGAGAATATTTCAAAGCCTTCAAACCCAATTGGTTCTGACCTTGTAGGTGCACTAAGATCTGCAGAGTTTTAGACTTTCCCCCACAGACCTTCTCCTTGGGAGCCAGAGTGCTTGAACTACCCACAGCACCGAGCACAGCAGCTCTCTGGAATCCACTCTCTACTACTGTATGTTACCCTGTAGTGCAACTGACTCTTTAAGGTTGGACTTCTCGATGAAGGAAGCAGCATGTCCATTTACATTCTGGGGCGAGCTGCTACATCTTCGTGACCAATCTGGAAGGTTTTCCTATCACAGCAGCTGTAGCATTAGTGCACACTCCCCTTGCACAGAAGTTAAAGTCCAAACCACACTTGATGATCTTTTACTCACCACAAAGCTTCTTGGTTATGTTGCCAAAGAAGCTGAAAAAATACTTATTTCCTGTTACGTCTGACATCTGGCAATCAAAGTTCTCTTCCATCACAGGTGTCACAAAAATGGCTATTTCTCCCATATTTTTCTTCTCCTAGATAAACTTTAATAATGTTTTTTCAAGTTTCAAACTTACCAAGTGGAATTTTTATTTCGGTCATATTTACATACATACATCATATATTTAGATCTATAAAAGTAATATTTTCTAAAACAACATGTTTGCCTGGAAATATTGACAGAATACAAAGTAGAGAAGGTACTTAAGTTTACCTTTTCAGGATTATGTTGGCTCAGTAGATACAGGAACTGACCTGTACTATGCAAGAATCTCAAGCATACTAGCAAAGTGTTTTTCATTGCAAATGCACAGGTAACATGTAGCATGGAAATTCTTTCACTCTCTGTACAGTTTGAATTTTATTTAAAGACATAACCTCCATCACAAATAAGATCCATGGGGGGCCTCCCCTGGTGGCGCAGTGGTTGAGCGCTGGGCTGCGGGGCTGCCCACAGCCTCTGCAGCGCTGGTTGGTTCCCCAGCAGCCAGTGAGGGCCCCACAAAAAAATAAACAAACAAACAAACAAAACAAATAAGATCCATGGGAAAATAATGGAATTCCAGAAATAGATCTCAAAATCCACTTTGAAAATTATCATGTGGTATTTCATATCAACGAGGAAAACAGGTTTATATGGTGTTTTGAGATGGCTAAGATTTGAAGTGAAATAAATTTAGGTTTTCCCACTTTACACTAAAATAAATTTCAAATGGATGAAAGGGAGAATTGAATGAAAAAAGCATAAATAAACCAACCAAACACCAATAACCATAGAAGTATTTGAGGAAAAAATAAGAGGCTGGTATCAAGGATCATCAATGAAACAGGGGATCTAAATATTATACATCTACAAAACATCAGCAATGAATACAAATGTAACAGAATGGCTTGCATTTTTTTATTCTCACCAAAAGAAGTCTTACATTTCCCTTGTTCACTGATCTGATTTGCAATTTTTTTCATCAAAAGATCATTTAAATTTGACAATATCTTCAGAGTAAATTGTTGGAACTGGTTCCTGATAGGAAATTAAAGATCAGCTTTGAAAACGGCATCATTTGCTTTTGTTCTGGGTCACACTTAGGAATGGTTATCCCAGGTTTGCTGACATCTCACTCTTGTGTCTTTAATCCCACCTTAACCTAGTGTCCCCCAAGTCTGAGTTAGTGCTGAGCTTCAGGCACACACATGGTCCACTCACCTTTGTGCAGACACCTGTGCTGGGTCTGACCTGCTCACACCTGCCTGCTTGACATTTCCATTTGTGTGTCTCACACTCACCACGCCCAAAACAAAACTCATGTCATTCAAGCAAGTCAGCCCATTTCTGTCCATCTCAGGAAATTGCACCACCATCTGCCTACCTTCCAAAAATAAAACTCAGAAGGCTTATTCATTTTACCTCCAAAACATATCCCAAACATGTCTACCTTTCCACATGTCTGACGACCACCTTCATCCAGGCTGCCATGGCTTCTAAAGCCTCCCTCATGTTACCTTCATGGCTAATGCACTTCCACACCGTGATTCCTTCTCTACCTGGCAGCCAGCATTACCTGTCAAAGCCATAAAGCAGATCATGACACTCTCCTACATACTACCTGTGAGGGCTTCCTGTTGCATTTGTAATAAAACCTGAACTTCCTACTCTCCAGGAGCTCACTCCAGCTCCTGTTTCCCTCTCTGAGGTTACCTAGTACCAATTACTCTTAGCCACCAGCTCTATCCACTGGCCTCCTTCTGGGATCTCATTTCTCTGTAATGAACTTTGTAGTAGTTCTACCCATATATGAAAATATTTTCACTCTGATCAGTATATGGCTGATTCCTTCTAGAAATGATAACAGATGGGGCCCTCCCTAACCATGCAATTTAGCCTCCACCCATCTGTCACTCCCTGACACCTAGTCCTCTTTCCTTCTGTGCACAGCATTTATCACTCTATTTTCCAGTTTTTCTTGTTCCTTGTGGGTTTCTCCCGACTTGTGTGTGAATCACAAGAGCAGGAATATTGCTGATTCTTGCACACCTGAGGGCCAGAAGACTACGTCACATCTTCAGGTGCACATTCAATAAAGATTTGTTTAGGGAATAAGGAAATATGAACAAAGTCTAGCTGTGATGTTGGAAAAGGGTTGCTAAGGCCACCTGTGGAGGCTGAAGGTTGTTGCATGTTAAAGCTTGGTTTTCTACATGGGTGCCCCTCAGGGATTTTTAATTCATCCACAATGACGCCAACAAGGACCCACATCTCTAATGCTATTTCATGTCTCCAAACTTTTCCTTTTGATCAGAGTAACTTCCTTTCCTTCCCATCTAAACTCCTCCATGCTTATCAAAAGATAAGCATAAGTAGCTCAAATGTTGCCTCATTAAAGATGACTTCCAATCTGTT